AAGTGAAGACTCAGGCCCTGCTTGGCAAAGAGTTTATTTTGATTTCTTCCTGAAGCAGCAAAGAAGTTCTGCAAATGTTATTAAAATGCTGTGTGGCTGAGAGCAGTTCAAGGGTGAACCATTTCCAATAGAGGTCGCCGTTGTTTATTCCTTGATGGAAAAACATCTGCAGAAATTGTGAGAGCCTGATCTGATGATATCATTTCTACCTGTTGCTATTTGTTCTTTTACTTGGAAGCCTTACCCAAGGGGACTCTATCTAGAACTCTGGCTTTCAAGAGCTTTCCCAAGATGATTTCTAGCAGATGTTTTCAATGCCTGGGTATGTATGTATATGTGTATGTATGTGTGTATGTATGTATGTATGTATGTATGTATGTATGTATAATCTATCTATCTATCTATCTATCTATCTATCTATCTATCTATCTATCTATCTTCATCTCCCACCTTCTTACTACCCAGTCTTTTACTTTGGCCTTTCTAACAAACTCATTGACCGAAAACCAAAAGTATGGCTACTGAATATCATTCTCGGGACCATACAAACAAAACACAAGGGAATATTGCTGTTGACTGAACTGCATTCATTCCACATTTGTATACTGAGCCTTAATCATCAACATGACCAAACTTGGAGAGAGAGCGAGTGAAAGGTGATTGAGCTTACAAAGAGTGGTCAAGGTGGTACCCTTGGAAGCAGAGACACCAGAGAGCACATTCTCTCAACCATGTGAGGGAGATCAGCAGGAGGGAATTCAGCAGGAGGGCAGCCACCTGAGAGCCAGGAAGAAAAGCCTCACAGGGAGCTGTGTAATCTATTGCCTTGATCTTGGGCTAAAAATTATAAAAAAATAGATTCCTGCTCTTCCGCAGTGTTTTGTCATAGCAACAACCTGAGGGTACAGAAGCCATGCCTACTTGGCCTAGCCTCTCAAAGTCTCTCAAGTAGATCTCACGAGATGAAGTCCAGTTAGGAAACTGTGATTTGAGGGTTAAGTTGTTTGACTTACTTCTCCAGGGCATTTTAATCTTTTTTGTAAACTCTATGAAGACATCTCATTTAGAAAATTTTAAGGCTGACACTCTCATCCAGGTAGAGTAGCTCAGAAAAGATGCCCACTGACCCATGTACAGGTTCAAGCCTAAACTGTCCCCTGAACTTGGGCAGAAGGATGTTTCTTTCTGTCTGTTTTGTGGTGCAGGCACAGCAGTTCCTTCCCTGAGCCTGGAAATGACACAAGCAGCACAGCAAGCCAGCATCTCTGGCAAGCTGTGCTTTAGGGAGCACAGGGGACCTGCATGTTGGAACCCCCAGGAAGTGCAAACCGGTGGCCACCAACATACATTGGGAACAAACAGTAGGAATTGTATTTGTTAAATGTCTTTTGAAAAATGCTGTACAATGTCTACTTAAAGGATCCATTCCAACTATCATTTCTGCATGAGTTAAGACATGCCAAAGATAATGGACTAGTGTGCATATTTAAATTATAAAACTGCATATATTGGAAATACATTTTTAAATACAATGTCAAAGCTTCTTCCCTGTTGGATCTATGTAATTAAAGATATTTAAAAGTCATTTCTCTCAGCTCTGAAGGTGGTGAGAAGAGAGTGAAAACTAAAGGATTTTTTTTTTTAATCTGTCAAAAGAATGGCAGTGCCTGGAAGCAACTGCTCTCCTTTTTTTCTCTGTGCCCTCTGTCCTAAGACATACTGTTTGTACTCTTAGACCAAAAGGAAGTCTATATAATATTTATTCTTCTTAAAAATTGAACTAATTCAATCTGGGAAGTGGTGGTACATGCCCTTAATCTCAGCATCTTGGAGGCAGAGGCAGGTGGGTCTGTGGCTTCAAAGCCACTTTGACCTAGAGAGTTCCAGGACAGCCAGAGCTACAGACAAGCTTATGTAACTACAACCTAAAACAAACCTCAAATAAAAACCAAAGAGAACAAGGATGTGAGACACCTGTGGTCAATCTGAGAAGTGAGATTTCTACCAGTAAAAACAGCAGTATATACTTCTGCTTGTGGGCATGACAGAATAAATCAGACCTGGCTCATTCTCTTGCTTCGCCTCCTAATATGCTTTAGAATGACAAGGGAGAGGTAAGTCGATTTCAGATCCAGACAAGTGGAACGTTGAGTCCAGAGAGAAGGGAATATCGTGTCAGAGCTCCACAACCACTCACACTGGCTCCAGAGAGGGTCTAGCCCTGGCTTGGGGAAGAAGAAAATCCCGAGGTTGGGTTGGGGTGAAGGGAAAGTTGAGCAAGCTGGAAGGCCAGGGAGCTGGAGGAACAGGGTACAACACAGAAAAGGAAAGAGCTACACTATGAGAAAGCTCTGGAGAGCTGTAAGGGGCCTTCAAAAATAATTCAGCTACATACAAGTCAAGGACTGAGGGATCTGTCCCTAGGGTCCATACAGACTGAGCCTGGGCAAAGGACTTGGAACTAAGTGGAGTTACCCCACTAGCACAGCAGTGAACTCTTCTCTACTTCTACCCAACGAATGTGAATCTTGAAGAGACTAAGCCATTTTCATGTAACTTCACTGCACCCTATGACAAACCCTGAGCCTGTTTATAGGGATACAGAAATCCTAGCAATCAACAAATTTTACAGAGCTTGGGATTCAGTCAGCAATCACCAGGCATTCCAAGAGTCAGAAAATGCAACTATGATAAGGAGAAAAGTCAGTAGACTGGGACACTGAAATAACAGTAAGGCCTGGGGAGGTGGCTTAGAGGGCAGACCACTTGCTATGCAAATGTGAAGGCAGGAATCCAAATCCCCAGTACCTATATAAATGCTGGGCAGGGGTGGTGGTCTCCTGGAGTCTCAGCACTTGGAGGGACAGTAGTAGCCTCAATAGCTAGACTAGCCAGAAGAGCTCCAGGTTAGATAAGAGACCCTGCCTCAACTAATGGAGACTGATGGAAGAAAACACCTGCTATCGATTTTGGATCTACACACACATACACTAGAACCAGAACATGCACTTATGCTCACACACTGAAACACATGTACATGCATGCACAGATATGACACATGCGTAAAATAAATAACATGGTTATTAAGATATATTTTATGTGCTCAAGAAGATAGGGGAAACAAGATATTAAAGCTGGGTGTGGTGGTGCACACCTTTAACCCCAGCACTCAGGAGGCAGAGACAGATGGATCTCGTATATTTGAGGCTAGCCTTGTCTATAGATAAAGTCCCAGGACAACAAGGATTACACGAAGAAACCATGTCTCAGAAAAAACAAACAAACAAACAAAAAACAAAAACAAAAAACAAGATATTAAAATGTAACAGAGAAACCTACAAAAAGACTAAATCAAAATTTTAAACATGGAAAGTACAGTATCTACAACATGTGAGCCACCATGTGATTGCTGGGAATTAAACTCAGGACCTCTGGAAGAACAAGCCAGTGCTCTTAACCACTGAGCCATCTCTCCAGCTCTGGCAAGTATAGTATCTGGAAAGTAACATGTAAGATGAAAAAAACTGATCCGATCAGGATCTCTTATAAGGTTCTGCAGGAGAAAACTGCAGAGATCTTGAGGATGAGGCTGTAGAACTCCCAAAAGCAGAAAATAAGGAAGGAAGCCTGAGGCACAAGTGAGGAGAAGCCATGAGGCTTCCAGACAGCCGAGTGCATGAGGGATTAGAACCCAGGAAGGAGAGGATGCCAAAACCACACTTGTGGAAATTGTAAACCCACAGATCCAAGCTCAGGGAGCCACGGACACAAAATTAATACAAGATAATTTGCTATAGTATTTCAAATAGAAAGTGTCTGCTGGGCACTAGACAGAGGCGACCACTCAATAATCGGGACAGCCAGCCAAACTGAAGCAGCTGCCAAGCCTTTGTTCACTCTCTATGACAATACAGGCAGGAGGCAAAGGGAAGCAGCCTCTTGGCATCCCTTTCTCTCCCACAGATTAGCTCAGCAGAAGTCAGGGTGCCACAGGGAAAACTACCGGAAGGAAAACCCGACTTCCATGAGTTGTCCTCTGCCAGAAGCACATGCTGGGGGGGGGGGGGGGGCACTAAATCTCAATAAAAAAAAAAGCTATGAGACAATATTGTAAAGAACTTAGTAGATTTAAACACTAGAAACTGGCTAGTAATCTAACAAAGCAAGCAAAAGGTAGGAACAGAAAGACTTACTTAGGGGGGCTAAAAATAAATGGAATTGGAAAATAAAGAGAGTGAGTCTGGAGAGATGGCTGAGCCTCTTACAGAGGATCTCCCAGAACCCAGAGCAGCCACAAACATCTGTAACTCCAGTTTCAGGGGATCTGACACACTCCTCTGACCTCCTTGGGTACCAGGTGCATATGTGGTGCACAGACATACATGCAGAGAAAACATTTATACACATAAATCTTTTAAAGAAAGAAGGAAGAAAGGAAGGAAGGAAGGAAGGAAGGGAGGGAGGAAGGAAGGAAGGAAGGAAGGAAGGAAGGAAGGAAGGAAGGAAGGAAAGAAGGAGGGAAGAAAGGAAGAAAGGAAGAAAAGGAGGAAGGATAGTTTTAGACAATGGTAGCTCATTTGCTTGTGGAGGATAGACAGGATGGCCTCTGGATGTACTGGAGAAGATGTTTCCCTTCAAGTTGGGAGCTGGAGAAGGCTGACTGGTCCGTAAGAAGGAACAAAATGGAGAGGAGGTGACAGGAGCACTAGTAGAAGCTGGGTTGGAGAACACCTGTTGAAAAGGAGAAAAGTGGGGCTGGTGAGATGGCTCAGTGGTTAAGAGCACTGGCCGCTCTTCTAGAGGTCCTGAGTTCAATTCCCAGCAACCACATGGTGGCTCACAACAGTCTGTAATGGGATCCGGTGCCCTCTTCTGGTGTGTCTGAAGACAGACACAGTGTACTTATATACATAAAGTAAATAGATTTTTTAAAAAAGAGAAAAGAAGATGAGAGATGTGATTGGGAGGGATGTGGGTTCAGGCCCTACACTACAACCCACCAGAGGCTGGGGACTGACGGGGTTTTTTCCACTGGCATTTGATATCCTTCAGGTTTTGTATAGCAGAACCACGTCTCACCTGGGCCCTGTTAAGCAGGAAAACAATAGTTATCGTCTCTTCTATGCAACCAACTACTTAACAAACCTCAACCAACAACAACCACCAACTCAACAACCCTCTCGGGGACCTAGCATTTATATAGCCTCTGAAAAGTCCCCAGAATCCCAAAGGTCAGGCAATCTCAGAAACTCTCTGCAGCTGGCGAAATCACGTTGCTGCTAGAGCAAGAGACGAATCATAGTTACCTGCCCTGCACTGTCTGAGGCAGCCCCATATCCTACACCCGGAATTAAAATGCAAACATTCTTATTATTTTTCTGTGTTTTTCAAGGAAACCAAAATTCCAAAATCTTCACTGCACATATCCCCTTCGTCAAAGTAACCAAATGTTTCTGCTTCCCCACCACTACCCTTAGCTGTCACTCACATGGACCATCTGGTGGGATGAGGAAAGAGCACTGTGGGAAAATGAACTTGAGGTTTCACATAGTTCCACTCAGGTAACTCTTCTCTTGCTTCTAGCCAGGGTACACACAGGCTACGATTTTTATTTTTTAAATAAGGGACTCACTTGGATGCAATGAAATTTGATTTGCATCGATAAGTAAGAGATATATTAATATCTGACGTATGGTCTAGCACCTGCACTTCCATTCAGTCCCAAGGGCCAGCAGGTTTCAAGCCATCCTGTGTCACACTCAGTGATGTGTGACACATCCAGGGGAAGGAAAGTCCTCCGGGTACAACTGTGTGGCCAGCTCTCTGCCTTGCCTCTTTAGAGTCTGCTACAATGTCTACCCACTACTTGGGCAGACTGCTTTTTAGAAGTTCGTTATTTGTAGCTAATCTAATGCTCACGCAATGGACATTTCTGCAAATGAGCTGAAAATTAAAAGATGATGCTGTTAACAGCAGAACTGACATTTCCGCGGTTTATATGAACATAGGAAAAGTAAAACCAGCAAGAATCTGATCAGATCTTCAAATCCTAAAAAAGAATCACCATAAGGACGACCTTTTGTTCTCTGTCCTCCTGGGTTACAACACATATTAAGTTAATCACGGTAGGAAGCCATTAGAGTAGGACGCATATTTCTTAAGAAGAAACATCTACAATTTTTTCAGAGGCTGAGTCACTATTCACTCATGGTTCTTTACAAAAATTCACAACTGTTCAGAATATTTAAAAGTTGCTTTGTAAATTCTTAAAAGGATGACCAAAAAAAACCCCATGCACTATATTAGTGAATTAAAACATATACCTTAGTCAGCAGTTATTAGACTAATTATTAGACAGTATTAAAAAATATGGTTGAAGACTAAAAAGCGTCATACTTTACAGCAATCACTTTCCTGTTCTATGGCCATGTGCTGTGAAGGGCAGCTGTTTCCAGTGTGTCCTTTTCAAAACTAAGATACAGGAGTCACAAAGCCATATACTCAGTAATAACTCACTAGTAAAATAAGGTTTACTCAAATTTTGGTTTCTAAATCATTATAACAAAAAGGAAACCAGGTGTTCTGGAGAGGTGACTAATTTCCAGGCTGGGCAGGGAAAGTATAAACACACAAGAAACAACCTGTGGCAGAGTCAGAAAGTGTGCAAGCCTTGGACATATGCAGTCAGGTAGCGGCATATTTTCCCACAAGTTGGGAGGAGCTAAGGTGGGAGGAGTAAGGAGTGGAAGAGGAGGTGCTAGGGAAGCAGAGATGTAGGAGGATGGAGAACCATGCTTGGATTGAGAGCAGTCCTGGGTAACAACTTATATCTAGGTTAATTAATTGGGAAGCACCTCCAATTGTGTGGGCATCTTGTTATTGAGCATTACCAAACATGTAAAGCCTTTGGATAATCTAAGCATTAGAGTCTCATTTCTACCGGGTCTGCATGGATGGTGGGATGGTCTGGGCTCAGCCCAGCCTTGTGGAGACAGTGTGGAAGATTGGCAGAGCCATCTCCCACACTGGTGTCTTATGGGTGGCAGGCCCGGTGTCTCTGGCTGCCTGAGCCGGCAGTGGTGATAATTTGCTGCCACCGCTTGTGGCCACAGACCATGGCTAGTCAGGGAACATGGCAGCTCTGTAACTAAAAGCCAGAACGGGTGCTGCTGTCTTAAATATCTCCTGCAACACAATCATAAGAGCTCTGCCTGCCCCTGAAGAAAGCGGAGACAGCCAACATGTTCATAAATATCCCTGACTAAATGCTTCTGACATTTTGAGCTCATTTTTCTCAAAATAAAGATGCAACCTTTTCAACTAGTCTTTTTTTAAAATTGAAAAACTTTCACACATGCCAGGTGGTGGTGGCGCACGCCTTTAATCCCAGTACTTGGGAGGCAGAGGCAGGCAGATTTCTGAGTTCGAGGCCAGCCTGGTCTACAGAGTGAGTTCCAGGACACCCAGGGCTACACAGAGAAACCCTGTCTCGAAAAACCAAAAAAGAAAAAGAAAAAAACTTCACACATATATTTTTGTTATGTTCCCCTCAACCGTTCCTCCCAGATCTTCCCTGCCTCCCTAACTCTGTCCTTTTTCTCTTCTTAACAAACAAAACACACAAAAACAGAAATCAAAATATACAAGCAAAAAGAAAAGAAAAAAAAACAGTAAGATTAAAAAAAAAAACCCAAACAAAAGGAGACAAAAAGTTACAAAACTACCATCATGTTCTGGGCATGAGGCCTACTCTGAAGTGTCATTAATATACCCAGTGAGATCTCACTGGAAAAGAAAATTTTTTTCCTTTACCAACAGGTATCAATTGCAGGTAGCTTCTTGGTTAGGGGTTATTGTCTGTTAGGTCTCAAACCCAGGACTCTGGCCACCAGGTTCTCCCAGCGTCTCTCAGTCCCTACATGTTACAGGGTCCTAGCGACTGGTATACCTGTCCCCTACCCTAAACTTCTCCAGCCCAGGGCCTGGGCTGAGCTGCCCTTCCTCCAGCTGCCCCTCTTTATATAACTCAGAGCTACTTTGACTACACTGGCCTCTTGCCCTGTTGGCTGCGGCTCCTGGGTCCCCGTCCCTCTCCCTTCCTGGATCTCCTCACATGGCTGCTTCAGTTTGCCCTTCTGTCTACTCTAGACTCTCCCAGCTGTCTGTCTCTGCCTCTGGTTTGCTCTCCCTTGTATCTAGAATAAGAACCTCGACCCCTCAAGGAGCAGTCATATCCTACATTTCTTTTTTTATTTATTGTCCTGTCCACCTCCTGCTCTCAGTGTCAGGATCCCATTGGCCGACGGTGTGCAGGCCTTGTGTGTGCTGACACAGTCTCTGAGTGCATATGTCTATCAGTCCTGCTCTGTCTGGAAGACACTGTGTCCTTGCAGTCCTCTGTCACCTCAGACTCTTGCATCTTTCTGCCTCTTTTTTTGGCACAGACTCTTGAGCCTTGAGGGGAGGGTTTTGGTGAAGCCAAGTTTAGGACACTGAGCTCCAAAGTCTCACCCTCTGTAGGTTGTCTAGCTGTAGATCCCTGTGTCAGTTGTTCTAACTCAGAGGTTCTCAACTTCCCTGATGCTGTGACCCTTAAATATAGCTCTTCGTGTTGTGGTGACCCCTGAACATAAAATTTTCGTTGCTACTTCATATCTGCAATTTTGCTTATAAATTGTAATGTAAATTCCTCTTTTCAGATGGTCTTAGGCAGCTGTTGGAAAGGGATCTCCAGCCAAAGGTTGAGAACCACTGTTCCAACGAGTTTGTAAGAACTCTTGGACAGTGAGAAATAGAAATTTTAATAACCTTAAATATGTGTCACTGAGAAGGTTCTTCAAAATGACTTGGTAGCCACAAAAGTTTTCTTCCTTTTGGATCCACAAATCTTCTTAGGGTTATTATTGTAGCTACAACAACTATTGTTAAAACAAGACAAAAATAGTCAAACCCAAGATCCTTGGATGACAAAATAAAGAAATCAACCCCCAAGATCGTTCGACTCATGCAGTGAATCTAAAGTGCTTAAGAACAAGCCCTAACAGCCAGAGCTACTGAAGTCGTTGTTCACTGAAAATGCATGATTTTTATGGTAGTCATAAGATACCCCAAGACCATGAAAATGAAGTAAGTACGACCACTTTACAATTTAAATAAATGAGAGATGTTCTCTGGTAGCCCAGGCTGGCTCTCCATTCCCAATATAATGGGGACCCTCTGCTAACTACCTGCTGAGATTACAAGCACCTGTTACCATGCCCGATTCAATTATTTCATTTTTGCCACCACAGGGTGTTGAACCTAGGACCCCATGCATGCTTGTCCAGCAGCTGATGACGTCCTCATCTGTCTTCTTTTAATTTTAGTTTGCATATTCCCATAGCGAAATCTTAAGGTAGCTTTCTCAAACGCAGGCTCGAACTCTTTACGGACAGGTGTCTGGGAACCATTATCTGAGACCATCCCAGCCCCTAGGAGGCCCGCGCCCGGAGAATGTCGCCTCTCGGGACACTGGAAACTATTTGCGTGTCTGGTACCTTAAAACGAAAGTACTCGGTGCAGGAACTCTGCGCAGGCGCTCTAGCAGCAAGCAGAGTACGCAGGAGCTCTAGCAGCGAGCAGCATTCACCTCCGCTGTTGGGACAGTTAAAAGATAGGTTTCCGGAAGTGGGAAAAGTGACCTTTCACGAACCGGAAGTTAAGAAATAGGCCAGCGACTGCATCCTACAGGACATTTGTTGAGGGGGCGGAGCTTTCGTCGAGGGGCGGGGCGTGAATGGAGGGCGGGGCGAAGCAGAGAAATGGGGCGTTCCCGAAGGGGAGGTGCTGGGCAGAAAGTTGTTTCTAGGAGGGCTGCCGTGAGCCAACGAGTTTTTTGGCGGGTCTCTTGAAGTGACAGAGGACATAAGAGGTAGGGCTGTCATGGGCGCGGGGCGCCTTGAGTGCTGCCCTCAGACGCGCAGGTGAGCCTAGGGGTCTGGGCGAGGGCCGAGCAAAGGGAAGGAATTGCTGGGCGCGGGTGGCCGGAGTCTCGGCCCGCTCACCCCGACGCCCGCCGGACAGCCCGGCTCTCCAGCCTGAAGACGCTGACCCAGGCAGAGCCTCCGGGCGGCTGGTGGGTGGAAGACCAGACAGCGACAGAAATGTGTTTCTCATCCTAGTGCCATTTGTTCCGGGTTAACGGAGGAGTGAGATGAGAGTATGACTAACAGTCGCCCCCGGCTAACAAAACAATAACAAGTAAGCCAGGAAACCACTGGGCTAATTATAGATCAGGAGAATGGCAGCTGCTCTAAGGGTGAGAGACAAGAGAGATCTCTTCTTAATGATTAAAAAACAAACAAACAAACAAACAAACAAACAGAAAAGACAGTCCAGCATTCCAGCCAGAACTCTTGGAATTAAGTTCTGATTCTTCTTAGAAATCCGTACACCTAGGAGGTAAGTGATGCCCCAAGTCTCACCCGGAAGATTGCACACAGTACTGGAATTCATGCTAGTGGCCTGACACAGCCCGGGATGATTGCTTTGGAACCTTTGTTCTTGGAAAGCTTTATTATGTTCAACTCACGTTCGTTTGGTTCAGTGTGAAAAGGGTTTTATTCCTATTTTCATGTAAAACTAACCTTTGAGCAGGATGTATATTGAGAAATTAATTTTCAGGAGCTAGAGAGATGGCTCATTGGTTAAGAGTCCTGCCCTTGCAGAGAACTGCTGTTGGTGTCATTGCTAACTCTAGAGCAGTGGTTCTCAGCCTTCCTAATGCTGCAGCCCTTTAACACAGTTCCTCTTGCTATGGTGACACCCAACCATAAAATTATTTCACAGCTACTTCATAACTGTAATTTTGCTACTGTTATGAATCATAACAGGCAACTCCTGTGAAAGGGATGGCAACCCACACAGGCTGAGAACCATTGCTCTTCAGCCTCTTAATTCCAGCTCCAGGGAAATCTGATCATCTGACCTCTGCACATACATATACTTACGCACACACACACACACACACACACAAATACAAATGTGGTGGCACCTGCCTACAATCCAATACTGAGGTAACTGAGGAAGGAAGCGCAGGAGCGCCGTACTCTATGCTGGGTATTGTGAGCTTGTCTCAAAACAAACTTGGAACTACATTGAAGTTGCTGAAGTGGATGGATAGGTGGTACATCTGTTAGGCTCTTGATTATACCAGTCATTGAGTGTATAAACTAATTAAACTTTTAGCTCTATGTTCAGGTACTATCTCCACTTTACAGGATTAGAAGCTGAAGCACTGAAAGATGAAGTAGCTTACCCACACTATATAGCCAGGACACTTCTGGCTGAGCAGAATGTCCTTCCTTGAGAGTCCATCCAGAGATGAGAGCTTTGTTCCTTAGCCACAGTTGAACTGTTGTTTTTGTTTTGTGCCCTAGTGTTTGTGTGTGCATGTTTTCATGTGCAGCTGTATACATTGTGTATGCTTTGCACATGGATGTGGAGGTCAAAGGTCAGAGGTCTTCCTCCATTGTTCTACACCTTATTTATTTTGAGACAAAGTCCCTATTCAACTAAACTGGTTGTCCATTGAACCCCAGGTATCCTCCTGTCTCCATCTCCTCAGCCCTGGGCTTATAGGTACATGACTACACCTGGCTGAAGATACTTCTTATACTTCTATAGCAAGCACTTTATTGACTGAGCCATTTTCCCAGACTTGCTTGTGTTGGTTTTTAAATCTGTCACTATAGGTTGCCACCCAAACTCTTGATAACTCTGTAGATTTCTTTTATCTCCTCCTAATTCCTTTAACAAGGCTGGGAAAATCCTTTTAGTTTTTTTTTTTTTTTTTTTTTTTTTAACAGATACAGACTGCCATTTTCCAAGGGTAGTGCTATAGATTCTGGCCTCATCTCCTTTGTTTCTATCTTAGTATCTTCCTCAATTATATATATATATTTTCTAATTTTCTTCCAAGACTTGTCTCTAATTTTCATCTTTTTCTTTTTTTAAAAAATCTCTATCATCTTAGTATCTTCCTAATTTTGATTTAGAACATTTTCTAATTTTCTTTTTTTCTTTCTTTCTTTTTTTTTCCAAGACAGGGTTTCTCTCTATAGTCCTGGCTGTCCTGGAACTCACTCTGTAGACCAGGCTGGCCTCAAACTCAGAAATCCGCCTGCCTCTGCCTCCCAAGTGCTGGGATTAAAGGCGTGTGCCACCACTGCCCTGCTCTAATTTTCTTTTAAGGCTTGTCTCTGGTTTTCATTTTTCTCTTTTTTCATCTCTAAAGCATAAGAATCTTGGCTATCAGGATTAAAATAAGGATTACCAATGTGACAGTAATCATAATTGGTACTGTCTAAGTTCCAAGTAGGTCTTTAACTCTCCCCTTTGTTTTTTTCCTTAAACCCCAGTGATACACAGAACCCCAAAGCTCTGTGTCACTGTGCCTCTCACCTTTACATAGATTATTTCCTTAAAATTATTTAATTCTTTCTCTAAGGACTTTATTTTGCCAATTTAATCTGTTTTTCCCTATGATTATTTATACCCAGTTTCTTTTCTCTTACACCGTTTTTAAATTTAATACTTTACAAGTTCATAAGTGTTAGACTTTTAAGTCCCACTGTGACGCGCCGCCTCGCTGATAAGGAGAACGCCACACTCTGGATTCTTCTGACAGCAGTTTACTGTTACAGCTCTTTTAGATGGTCATGTTACAGCTCTTCTAGATGGTAGTGTTACAGCTCTCTTAGATGGTAGTGAGGCGAAGGACCTCGAGCCCCAGAACCCACGGCTTATATAGAGCCCTGGGAGAACGTGCCACATGCTCATTGGCTCTTAAATGTCACCTAATTAGCATATTAATTTTTCGTGCCTTGCGCATGCGCACATTCAGCTTGGCTCTGACGAGAACCGGGGAGTGGGAAGCCGGCGCACCCTGCGCAGGCGCACATTCAATCCCGGCTCCCTCAAGGAGCCGGCGCCATTTCACAATGGCGCCTGCGGCTCCCGACATCTCCCCCGTCTTTATTAAATTGCTGTAACAAATTTTTAACTGTTATTTTGCTGATCAAGCCCACCGTTCTACCAGTAAGGCGTTCAAGGCAGTTAAACAGTTGTGAGACCCTCCACACTTATGTCCCGTGCAATGGGAACCCGAGCCCTGGGAAGTGTGGAGGACTATCACTCAGGGTTCCTGGTTAAATACCCCCTGGAGCGACGTGTACATATCTGGTTGGTTAATTGCCCATAAAATCCTATATGCCCCGGGATGGGCTGTGACTTCCCGCGCTTTCGCCTTACACAAAGGCAGTAAATTATAGAACTTGTGAGAGCATCAGATTGCCAGCGCTGTCTCTGCCTTCCACGGCTCTCTACATCTCCCCCTTTTTGTTTTAATAGATAAGATTTAAGAGTGTGATGAGCCCGTTTTATAATGTCTTGTCTTTGAGGATTGTGTGGTAGACCTGTCAGGTGAGTCACCTCTATTTGGCGACAAAATTGTCCAAACTTTTGAGATGTATAAGTTGAGAATTTTAGGCTTTTCCCAGGCACTCCAGGCCTCAAGGCAATGTTGGATAACATGTGTTGCCTTTTCTCCCGATAAAGGGGAGGCAAAAATGATTCCAGAACAGGTGTCAATAGAAATATGTAAATATTGAAGTCTCCCAAAGGACGGGATATGGGTAACATCCATTTGCCATAATTGATCACGTGTAAGTCCTCAAGGCTTAACATCATTATGAAAATTGAGGACACTGAGAACAAGTTTTTGTTATTTAACTTATACACTTTTCAGAAATATCAAATTATAGTCTCAAGCTATTATTATTTTGATGATATAAAGAATAAGATTGTATGGCCAATTGTTTCTATATGGTCTATAATTTGACCGGTATACAAATCTGTTCTGGCATTGCCCTGGGTTCTAGGCAATCCAATGAACCCTTAAATGTCTGATAAAGAAACAGTACATGTTTCTTAAATTAAGCTGTATTTTTATAATTAACTGTAAAATTTGAGAATTAGTAATATCTAAAAGGGCAACAATTTTAAGTAGTTACAAACCATGAGCCATATACTGGCTATGAGTGTACCAATTGAAAGCTTGATTTTTCAGCATTTCAAACAGTGTCTACAGCACATAATTTAATTATTTGTGTTGAAGCAGGGGAAAATTCAAGAAAATGAACATGTGATATAATTATATATACTGCCTAATAAATTGATGAAGCATCTGTAAATATAGTAAATATGTTTTCTATGGGCTGTATGTAAATTTATAGGAAATACAAAAGCATGTATATTTTCTAATAACCAACTTAATTTTTCTAAAATATTTTCAGGATTCTATCTTATAATCCTGTATTAACACTGTAATAGTTTCATGATAAGATGTTCAAACTTTATTTGTACATGAAGAAGGATGAAACCACATTAATGGTTACTTTGGCTAAAGGTCTGTTGTGAGCACATGAGTAGCAATAATGTAAACAGCCAACAATGTATCATGGTCTATATAATTTATCTTTTAATGACCAATAGCTTATTCTATACCTTTACAAAGCTATCTATCCCTCATCAGTTAACTGTCGAGGGGAATTAGGATTTGTATCTCCCTTGAAAACATCAAACAGAGGTTCAAGTCCTCTTATGGTAAGTTTAAGATGAGGTTTTAGTCAATTAATATCTGTTAACAACTTTTAAGAGTCATTAAAAGTAAACCAATTTTTGTATGTGTGCCTGTAAGCCAGAAGAGGGCACTAGATCTCACTACAAATGATTGTGAGCTACCATGGGTTGCTGGGAATTGAACTCTAAATATTTGTAGTTGTGAGCCTAGCCTTTAACGGCTGAGCCATCTCTCCAGCCCCTATTATCTATTCTTATTGGAATTTTCTGTGTCACAATCTGTTTAAGATGTAACTGAATTTTCAAATATTAAAAACTCATTGTATTAGAGTAAGGGCGTAAAGAAAAACTCTTTTTAGAGATATCAGTTAACAAAATGAATAAAATACACTGAGAGATTTAAATGTTTAATTTCTGTATTAAAGCAACAACAAATTCTTATATAAGACTATTAATCATTCTTTGAGTCAGCCTTTTAATGATATTGTTTCATGGGCTCTCAAGAATCACTAATAAATTCATTGGATTTAAATCTCATCACTTTTACTAGGATGTAAAGGAACAATAAAAACAATCTTTTAAATCTATAATAATTCTATGTATTTACTAGAATGGTAACTGACGTAGGCAAGACAGGCTGTAATGTCTCATTAATTTCATAAATCTTAAATTTGAACTTTGTTTTTGGTTTAACTGAATAAGCAACTCTTTTTAGTTGAATGAGGGATCAGATAAACGCCAAGTTAAAGGCACTCTTGTCTTCTAATAATTGTTACATCAGCCCCAGTATCTATTAATTTTTATTGGTGAGAGCAGCTTTTACTGTATTTTGTCAAACATTCGGAGCCATTGCCATAGCGGCAAATCTCTCAAACTTCATGGCTGTAAAATTAGCATCAAACCCATGCTTTTGAACTGACTCAGCAAGTTCCTTAATAGAAGTATATTCTACCGATGTGTAAATGCAACTTCTTTCTGTAGCTTTAAACACTGGAAAGGCTTGAAACATCTTTCTTTTGTTTTCCTTTGAAAAGAGTTCTGTGCAGCGCCTGCCCGCGTAAGGTGGGCGCCGTGGCGGCTTGGGTTTTCACCGCGGGCGGGGGAGCTCGCGCGCGGTTTCTAATCCCCGCCTCTCTTTTGTTCTCTATTCTGCGGAGGCAGCTGCCCACGTGAATGGTATCCTTCCGCCTCAAAGCGGACTATTTTTCTATCTAAATCCTGTTCCCACTTGGAGGACCCAGGCTCCCCTGATTCATATTTATATAATTTCAAACTTTGCAATTCTTCAACTGGATATAGAGGCCTTTTCAGCTCAGCTCAACTCTTAGCTATAGGTGTAGGTAGCTTATCAGCCTCTGCTGTGTATATTAAGACTGCCTTTAAAACAAAGGTAAACTAGCCCAAGAGTTGTATATGTAACCATTCTTGTCTTTTGAACATGCAACATAGAACATACACTTAGACAAAAAACAAGCAACACACATGGACATTGGTGCGCCAAGGACAGACAACAAAGAAGGACATTTAAGAGCTCTTTTTTGTTGACATAGCTCAGAGAGAGGGCAACTGTTTTTCTAAAACCCTTTCTCTCTCTTATTCTTTACTGGATAAAAAGATTTTTTTTTTTTAACGCCTTTTATCCGTTTTTTTTTTTTTTTTTTTTTTTTTACGTTTCTCTCCCAGGGAAAATTATCCCTCATCTTTGTTCCTTTTCTCTTTTTCTCTCCCAGGGAATTAAAATTATCCCTCTGTCATCCCCGCAGATCAAATGTTTTTGGGAAAATCTTTAGACATGTCTCTTCTCCATCCCCCGAAGACATCTCCTCAGAGGTGGAGTCACTAATTCTTAGATTTTGAAACTCAGTTAACACTGGATATAATTTTCTCTTAGGCTCTTTCTGTTCCTCTTTTGTAGCTACTTCTTTTTTAATTTCCTCTTTTTTCTTTTCCTTTTTCTTCGTTCTATTCTTAGCGCTCTTTTCCTTTTCTGCTTCTGATAGGCTATCCTGGTGCTCTGCTAAAGCTCTTTGTCCCTCTCTTACCTTGTGTTGGCATTTAGCATCCTCTATACAGGCTCTAATCATTTTATACAAAGGCCATGTGCCTGGTCTTAACTTCCCTCCTTCTATTTCGTTGATCAGATCACGTCCAAGTTTGCCCCAGGAGCCCTTAGACAGGGACCCCGTGGATACAAACCAGGGAGCTACCTGATCTACATCTCATAAAAAATTGCACAACGCTTTCTCAGGAACCTTTAAGCCACGCTCGTGCAGCAACGCCTGCATTGCTGAGAGAAGCGGCTTCATTTGATGGTTACCCATAGCCTTTTATCTACTGGAGGGAGCGAATTTGTAACTTACAGTTCCTGTATACACGGAGGGCAAGTGCACTCCTTCCCCTGTACATGCCAATTAAGACAAAAGCAGAGCACTAGAACTATCGCAGCCCAAACGGGGATAGCAATAGCAAGATAGACAGGATCCACCATACCTTGCAGAAAAGCGTCTAGACTTCTCGCGCCGTCAATTCTGAATCCTCTGTTGAGCCAACAGGGTCCCTCGAAGCTGGATAAAATGCTGAGACGTTCGGCTTTGTCCCGGGTTTCGGCACCAGCTGTGACGCGCCGCCTCGCCGATAAGGAGAACGCCACACTCTGGATTCTTCTGACAGCAGTTTACTGTTACAGCTCTTTTAGATGGTCGTGTTACAGCTCTTCTAGATGGTAGTGTTACAGCTCTCTTAGATGGTAGTGAGGCGAAGGACCTCGAGCCCCAGAACCCACGGCTTATATAGAGCCCTGGGAGAACGTGCCACATGCTCATTGGCTCTTAAATGTCGCCTAATTAGCATATTAATTTTTCGTGCCTTGCACATGCGCACATTCAGCTTGGCTCTGACGAGAACCGGGGAGCAGGAAGCCGGAGCACCCTGCGCAGGCGCACATTCAATCCCGGCTCCCTCAAGGAGCTGGCGCCATTTCACAATGGCGCCTGCGGCTCCCGACATCCCACTGCAGCTCTGGGGAAAACCGCAGGCTCCTCAAGCCAGCATGTGTCTATGGTGGCTAACTCCATCCCCGTAGCTTGGTCTAACAGGCTGCTGGCTACTGGTTCCACCCCCTTTGGACCTGTCCCTTTCTGTAAGCAGTTGTAGGCCTTTTCCTGCGTGACCTAAATTGGGCTGTCTATCTCTCTCTAGTCCATTTTTTTACCTTCCTCTGGAACTATGTCATGCTTGGGAGAAGCCACAGCTGCTGTACCTGCAGGATCTAGTGCAAGAGAGACAAGAGGCAGCTCCAGCACCCACCAGCTGGCTTAGCTCACAGGCCTCCTCTTGGTCTCTCTTAAAATTATTTAGCTTCTTGCCCAACTTGGAAACTGCTCTGGGAAGTGCTTCTTTCCAGCCTTTCACCTGGGATTTTTTTCCTCAGGCTCTAAGCTTGGATTCTAAGAGCCCCACATTGGGCACCAATTTTAAACCATGGGCTTTTCCATGTGCTCCCAAGGTCCTGAAATAATGACTCTGAGACTAAATTACTTAAGAATAAATGCCTAGGCTAAAAGCTCTGGTGTTGGCTTGTTCCTGCTATCTTGTAACTCAGATAACCCATTTCTTTTATTCTAAGCCCTGCCACATGGTTTGTTTCCTCTCCTCAGGTTCATGAGAGCGTAATCATCAACACAGGGTGAATCTGTTCCCATGCCTGACTCTATCCCAGAATCCTCTCTCCATGCTGGAACTCTAAGTTCTTCTTTCCTGCCTAACCTAATAGGTCAACAGCTTTGTTATTGACAGGCAGTGCTTCCATCCCATACACAAGAGATTCTCTCTACAGTTATATGAATTTTTGTAACCACAGAACAAAGTCCCAGAACATTCTGTAAATATGGGAAATGGAGGAGAGGCTTACATAGATGTGTTAAAGGAGTAAAGGGACCCAGCCACCAAATGAAATGGCACCTTACTTCGTTCTTAGAAGACTGTCTGAATCAGAGGTCTACTCTCTATCTCCTTGTCCTGGAAGTGCTAGATCAGATTCAAAAGATCACCAGCGACACTTGTTTTTGAAGGCTCTGGAGTGTGACCTTTGACCCAAGCCTCCTAGTGCCTGAGGTTCAGATGAGCCTGAGTTTTCACTCCTTTTGGAGGAAGAAGCTGTCTAAATACGGTCCTTGCTTGAAGTGTCCTATCATGATAACAGTTTCTTTGGAAGTGTCTAACTCATACAGTTAAGGCTACAAGAGACAAAGCATTATATATTAATAAAGGCTCAATACAACTAGATACAGCAATTACAAACCTCATGTTTAAAGTCAAAGACTTCAGCCATTTGGATTATATGTTATTGTGCCTATTTTGCCCATTAAAAGTTATAGTAACCATATACATATTTATGTAGCAAAAAAAAATATTTTGGCTAATGCAGGGTTCTGTCTTTAGTTCCAGGCTTCCACTAGGGACTTAGATTACAACTCCTACACACCAGACAGCACTTCTGTAGATGCTGCTCCATCTGCATGTCTTCAGTCCTGTCATCTATGTTAGTATTTCATAAAATATCTGTACATCACATAAATAACCATTTTGTTGCTTGTTGGCTTTGTAGGTGGAGAAAACCTGAAACCTCCTGAGAATGGAGATCTCTGTGACACAGATGGCAGGCTTACCCTAAAGTGCAGCAGCCACAAGCTGCTCCTGTTTAGTGGGCAATGGGACTTTTTCAGCAGAACATCAAACAAAGGTGACAAATTGGCTTGCTGGAACAATAGGAATAATTTTATATTTCTGTCATCATAATTTCTTTCTAAATGTGGGAAGCATTTGGTTGTCTCTGTTATAGGAAACCTTACGTCCACATCATATAACGTTTGTAACTTCTCCCCAATAGGAGACTGAGCTGGCTTGTGACATGGCCCTGCAAGCACTTCCTACCAAGCCTGACAGAAACCCTGTGGAAAGATTGAACCAACTCCAGCAAGTTGTTCCCTGACCTTGGCCCATAGACATTGGCATATGTGTGCACACATGGACACAAAATAATTGTAATAAAGCATGTTTTAAAGAGGACAGCCATTCCAAGCCATCTTTGCCTGAATGTTCCATACTCATTAGATGCACAGTGGCATCAAGCCTGTAGCCTGTGGAAAGAACACAGAAGGTCCATCCTAGGCCACAGCCTTCCTTACTAAGTTATCCTAGTATTTCCATTGTGTAAGTATTTTCATTTCAGATACAGTTCGTCCACATCAGTGTTGTAGACCCTTCATTTACACAGACTGGAGGTTTTTGTCAGTGCCTCTTTCTCAGTACTGACCTTCTACTTCCCATTCTCCAAGAGGATAGGCAGAAAGCCTCAGAAGGCAGGCTCACAGGAGGGGCAGCCCTCCATCTCCTGCTTGGTGTTGGGGCCCCATCTGCACCCCTCTGTCCCCTGTGTAGGGTGAAGACAGCAGGGAAAGAAGGAGCTGTGAGCTCTTTCCAAGTCAGGGCCCCAGAGCTTCACCCACCAGGTTGCCCACTGGTTACTAAATGGGAATAGTGATTTTACAGCTTCCTGAGTGTGTCTGTGACACAGACCGTTTTACCTCTAGTGAGTTTTCTGTATGCAAGTTTCAGTTTTGATACCACTTGGTTTTTGCCATAGGCTGGAATTTTTTCATCCACCAGCTGGCTTATGTATAGGATATTGAGGAAACCCTTAAAGTTACCCTATAATAACGAGCAAACATCCAGAGTATCACACAAATACTATACTCATCCGGGATTCTCAGATGATAATCATCCTGTGCCAAGCATCCCCTGTGCTCTGTTGTTCTGCTGGTTTTGGAAGCAGTCCCCTTGCAGAGATACCGGTGACTGACAGACCATGATTGACGCCATGTTGTATAGACGTGAGCAGATCCGCTAGCTTGCCTCTGCTGCTTTCTGTGTCTGTGTTTTCTCATGTGTTAATGGAGGCAATAGATGTGACAATAAGTAACATAGCATCCAAATCAAGATAGTTCTAAAAGTGAACGGAAGTTTAATGAGCTGGACAGCAAGTTTCAACTGGGACTTGCCCAGATACACTGGGCCCCATGATGCAGAATTTGACTCAGAGGTTCTGAGTGATTGTTTATAAACTGCAGGAGAGACAGATCTGCAGTTAAGAGAACTACCTGAATAGGGAACCCAAGTTGAGTTCCCGGCACCAAGATAGCATGGCTCACAACCATCTGTAACTCTGACTACAGAGGGACCAACGCCTTTGGCTTCTACTGACGTCTGTACTCATCCATGCATACCCACACACATATATACAGGTAAATATAGAATAAATCTTTGTAAGAGTAAAAGCTAAAGCGCTCAAGAAAGTGACATGGGATCAACTGAAGAGTAGTGGTGTTAGAGCATGCAGCCATGTTGCTTATAATATTTCTCTCAAAGACAATCAGCACTAGGGATAAATAAAATAAGTAAGCTGTTAAAATCGCAGTGCATCTAAAACACGTACTATCTAAAGCATCAGCATCACTGGTTTCTAAAACTATTTGCTGGTCAGAATGGCTCACACCTTTAAATCGCAGCACTCAAGAGGTTGAGATTGGAGAGTAGCAACTTCTGTACCAGTCTAGACTATATGGTGTATTCCAGTCCACTCTGGAAAACAGAGGCAGGCACTGTCTCAAGATACAAAACAGAAAGACTGTGCTACATGTTATAATGTGAGGTAGTCACTCTTTATTTAAGAGGTATTGAAAGCTTTTTATGTCACATACCCTTCTGAGTAACAGGGATAGTAAGTTACCTAGCCAGACCACAAAGAGCTGTTAAACAGCCAGAGTTCAAACTGTATAAAGTAGTTTGGGATTTGGGTTTTGGATTTTGGGTTTTTTTTTTTTTTTTTGGTTTTGTTTGTTTTGGTTTTGGTTTTTCAAGACAGATTTTCCTCTGTGTAGTCCTGGCTGTCCTGGAACTCACTTTGTAGTGCAGACTGGCCTCATACCCACGTAGATCCACCTTCATCTGCCTCCTGAGTGCTGGGATATACACCACCATGTCTGGTTTACTAAAGTAATTTTAAAGAAAATATAAAACTAGCTCCCACCGTGAGACGCTCCCTTGAGTGTGATATCTATTTATTGACAGATGAAGTACTCCTCAGGACCATGAAAGGAAACATGATGAATGGGCTGTGTCCCGGCGCCGGGATTACCCAGCAGCCACCATTCCCAGAGGTGCTCCCTTGTTAAAGACTAACAACATCAATCACGTGTGTTTTTCCCGTGGATCAATGTCACTGGAATGTATTTGATTATGCTGACATATCATTTTGTTTCTGGTGGTGGAACAGAACTTAAGAGACAGGATGGGTAAGCAGCTTTGGAAGAGCCGAGGACACCCAAACCACAGCGCTGAGATCTGTCTTAGGATAGGCAGTCTGTTCATAGAGGTCAGAAGGAGATTGTCGCTCCAATTCCCAATTGTTCAATAAGGAAATTAAAGTCCAAATACAAGTTCATTTTCCAGAAGTTACACAGTTATCATGGACCAAGCCAGCCGAATCTGCTTCTGTCATATGGATCATTTATTTCTGTTTCCTTGAAGTGCTAATATAACCATTCATAATATTGAAGCAAAATTCTATTAAAAATTAATTAGCTAAGCTGGGCGATAATGGCACATTTTTTTAAATCCCAGCACTCAGGAAACAGAGGCAGTTGGATCTAGCAGGCTAATCTCTTAAATTTGAGGCAAGCCTGGTTTACAGAGTGAGTTTCAGGACAGCCCAGGTTATATAGAAGTTAATTTTTTATAGCATCATAAGTGCTTTTTATGTGTCTTTAATACCTAATGGAATTATTAGTAGCAGAATGGCTGGCATCCAGAGCACATCTCTGCAGATGAAATGTCAATGAAAACAGCCTGAGTCACTCATCATTGCCAGCCTGGCCAGTAATTAAGGTCAGGGTGGGAGCTGGATTTGTTCATAGTGTCAGCACAGTAACTGTCATTCCAGAAGGGAAAAGCCCCATTTGTACTTGTCTTAGGGTTTTACTGCTGTGAGCAAACACCATGACCAAGGCAACTCACATAAGGACAAAATTTAAGAGGGCTGGCTTACAGGTTCATAGGTTCAGTCCATTATCATCAAGGCAGAAACATGGAAGCATCCAGGTGGGCATGGTGCTGGAGGAGCTGAGAGTTTTACATCTTCATCTGAAGGCTGCTAGCAGAATACTGACTTTCAGGTTGCTAGGATGAGGGTCTTAAGCTTATAACCACAGTGACACACCCACCCAAGGCCACACCTCCAAATAGTGCTGCTCTCTGGGCCAAACATATTCAAACCACTACACTAGTGTTAGCCAACTTTTGTGACTGAAATGTTCCCGTTGTGAAGGTATTAGCTTGAAGTCTGTGAATGTGGGCCTGGGGTGGATGCATGCATGTCCTGCAGTTAGATAGGGTATTATAGCATATGATAGCTGAAAGGAGCTTCAAGAACAGACAAGATGAGGCTGGAGAGATGGCTGCTTAGGTAAGAGCACTTGGGGCTTTTGCAGAGAACTCAGGTTCAAGGATCCACACAGTGGGTCACAGCTCCCAGTAGGAAGCAGGATTCTGGGACACAGGCAAGTGGGGAGGGTTCACTGGGGAACATACAGAATAGACGCATGGGAGCTGAACAGAGATAACCAGCCATGTGGCAGAACTTAGAATACGAGGATGATTAATATACGAGCCTCAGCTGTTATTCCCGAGCTTGGGGCTAGGAGGAAAAAATCCCAACTTTTATAATGAAGACCAGGGCCACAATCCTCGGAACCTAGGCAAAACCCTAGATGTGACAACCATCCTTAACCCCAACATTTGAAAGGCAGGGATGGGTATTAGAGCAAACTGGCTAGCTAGACTACTCAAATCAGCAAGATGGAGGCTGGGTAAGATCGTGCACCTCAGTAAAGTGGAGAGCAATCAAAGAAGACGCTTGTCTTCTATTTTATGTCTTCATACGAACTCATGTGCACCTACAAACACAGTCACACATGCACACACACTTGTGCACGCTCAAACACACACACACAGTGAAGAACAGCTTGCCACTTCACAGGGAATTCCTTGCACACTTTGGAGCACCTGTGACTTTCCTTTGTTGGGGATCTGTGTCTCCTCCATTGTACCAGGAGTTTCCTGTAGTAAGCACTGTAGACACTGCCTCTGGGTCCACAGTGCTTACTACAGTGTCTGATGTGTATTATAAACCCTCAGTACATATTGACTGAAATGATGATTTAATTGATTTTTTTTCAAAGTGGCTATCCAAAACATAGTTCTGGAAGTCATTCAGATAAATGGAAACCAATACCTACCTGTACAAATGTCTGGACTACTCACTGTGTCTTTTCTCAAGATACTCTCCACACAGGAACTTTCTTTCTCTGTGTGCAAGCCTCAGATGGAAATAACACATCCTTTTTGGTCTGAAGAGAAATTTATTGATTCTCAAAACTACAGTAAGCCAACTTTTCTTTGAAACAGTCAGTCAGTGTAACCCAGCCTGGCCTGGAACTCACTGTGTAGCCCAGGGTAGCTTCGAACTCATGGCAGTCCTCCTGCCTGAGCTCCTGGAAGATAAGATTATGAGTGTGGCTTATGGATGCTTTAAGTCAGTGTTTTACTTGAGGTTGTAATTCCTCAATTTCATACACATTTAAAAAATATGCATGCATACAGTAATAATAAACGTACTTTAAGATAGTTTTGTGGGGGTGGGTCTGATGCTAAGGTCATATTGCCCCGTTGGTTCTTGATGGATCAATAAAGATGCCAAGGGTCAATTGCTGGGTGGAAGGAAAGAGGCAAGACTTCTGAGTCCCCACAGGAGGCTTAAGATACTCAGGAAGAAAAAGGAAGTTCTTGCTGGGCTGTGGTGGCGCACGCCTTTAATCCCAGCACTTGGGAGGCAGAGGCAGGCAGATTTCTGAGTTCAAGGCCAGCCTGGTCTACAGAGTGAGTTCCGGGACAGCCAGGGCTACACAGAGAAACCCTGTCTCCAAAAACCAAAAATCAAAAAAAAAAAAAAAAAAAAAAAAAAAAAGGAAGTTCTTGGCAATGCTTCAGAGAGAGTAGAGAGTAAAGGTGACCAGCCATGAGAGATCTCAGGCAGAGCGGCCATAGGCTGCTTCCCCAGGTGGGAGATTAGAAACACAACTAAGAGGAGGGCAGTTTTGGGTTGCTGAACAAGGATAAGGTAACTGAGCAACTAAAGTTAAGGGCAGATTTAGGGTGCTGAGCTAAGAGTATTGGGAAGGGCACACTAGCTGTGTGAGATTAGAATTACTCAACTGTTGGGAGCCAACTCCTAGCAGAAAGTGGCTATCATCTTTCCAGCCATCTTGAGCCATATACCCTGACAAGAGACTTGTTTTCTACAGCCCACAACAGCTGAGCACACTCTGATAAACATCTTGTTTTTCTCACATATCTTGTTTTGCTGTTTAGTGCCCATGGCTGCAAGGCACGTGATAAAGCTGTGTTCCCCTGCTTGTGCCTATAAATACCCAGAATTTCCTTTCAATAAAGGGGACTTGATCAGACCCTCTGTCTTGTCTCCATTTCCACTCTCTCTCTCTCTCTCTTGCTAGACCTTGTTGACTAACCCGCAGACCGGAGCAGACTTGGCCCCCAAACGTGGGGTAGTGTGGAGCAGCGCGGGCCGGGACGCTCAGCAATTGAGCCAATAAGGCAGGTTGAAAAATGAGCTAATGTATGTCTTTCATCCCCAGATCAGAGGAAACCTGGGTGGGGCTAGTAGAGTGATCCACCTAGAGCTTAAAGCAGGGTAGCAAACACTACATGTAACATGTTTTAATATGTTGTGATAGTTGTTCTTGGTTGTCAACTTGACTACATCTGGAATTAATTAAAACCCAAGGGTCTGGGTTTGCCTATGAGGGATTTTCCTTGACTGAATTATTTGAAGTGAGAAGATCCACCTTATACCTGGGCCACATCATCTTGTTGCAGCCTACATAAGAACATGAAAGGAGGAAGCTTGCTCATTGCCTGGTTGCTTTTGCTGACAAGTCCATTCCTTCACTGGTGTTAGAGCTACTTCTTCAGGATCTAATGTATACTGAAAATCAGCTGAGGCATTCTTGGACTAGCTGCTGGGAGACAGGCATTGTTGGACTAGCTGGACCACAGCCTCTAAACCACTCTAATAAATCACATACACATACACACACACACACACACACACATACATACACACACACACACACACACCTATATATACTTATACAGGTATCCATTCTATAAGTTCTATTCATCAGAGAACCCTCACAGATGCAGATGTCTGTTTCCACATTATGTCTGTGTAAATCTTTGTCAAATACCAATCTTCCTCTTGTTCTTGTCATGAACCCAAATAGGGTTTCACTATGTGTCCATATCGGTTGTCTAGATGATTCCGTGAGCAAGTGTTGTTGACTAATTTATCAAGTTATTTTTTTGGGGAAACACTTCAAATATTGGGGCTAGAAAAACCCTACACAGTGTAAGTTTGTGCCTCAGGCTTATAACTGTGATGGGGAAGGAAAACATGGCTTTGAGATGATGGAGCTTTTGAGCTTTGACGGTCGTATGTAGTATGAAGAGTATCTGAAGGTTTGTGTTTCACATGTTAGAGTTATGTGGCACTTGTCTCTGGCCCCAGTTTTCTTCTTAGGTTTTTTCATTTTTTTAATATAATTATAATTTTGTGGCACTGGAGAGGCAAGAACTTTCTGAATGGGAACTAATCCCAAGTAGCAACAGATGGGGTTCGTAGATGCATGTAATTAGAGAGCTTCTCAACCTCAAGGGAGACTATCTGTGCAGCACACAGGCTACAGGATGGGAGAAAAGCCTGTCCAGCTATACCTCAGACAAGGCTCTGATACCTCAAACTCATAAAGAACTTCAGAAATTAAGGAAATGAAGCTACCAGAAACAAATGCACCAATAAATTGAACAGTTTTCAAACGCTGAAATACAAACCCAGTAACCATCTCTAAAGTATTCAGTGTCCTGAGCCATCAGCAAAATGCATATTGACACTGCTTTGACATTCAACCTCACCCTAGTCAGAATGGCTGACAAGAAATCTGACGAATGTTGGTGAGGGTGCCGAAAAAAGGAACTCTTACTCACTGCTGACTGGGGTGCAGATTATTAGTCACTATGGAATTCATTTTGGAGGTTCCTCAAAAAAACAGAGCTACCATGTAACCCAGTTATTTCACACATGTGTACTTACCCAGAGACCTCTACATCCTATCACAGACATATCTGCAACCTGCCATATTTACTGCTGTTATTCACTGTTGAAAGAAAATGGAGCCAACCTAGTTGTTGCAGAAAATCCAGTACATATAAAAAATGGAATATTATTCAGTTCTAAAGAAAAAAAATCACACAATGTGCCAAAAACAAAAAAAACAATGAGCTTAGAATGCATAATTCTAAGCATCTTGGGGAAGAAAATGTTCTTCATATATGGGTCCTAGCCTGTAAAGTCTACATGAGTATAATCAGCATGTGCATGAGGGTATAACATGTTGTAGAACATGAATCATTTATAACAGAGTGCTTCCTAAGGAGTTCCCACATATAATACTGTAAGTCCTGTGAATGCACTCAGGGTATAACACATTTGCAGGGTAAAGTCCTTACATGGGAATTGACCACATATGATTCCATGAGAGGCTGTCTATCTTACTGTGAGACCCAAATTTTAAATTATGTTTTCAATGAATATTCTTATAGAATGTAGTTCTAAATACAACTAAGTATAGTATATTTTATTCTTTCAAAAGAAATTTTAGCTTTTCAGATTGTAGATGTAAAGTTTTTAAGAAGTATGTTTTAAATATCATAATTTTCAAAGCCCCAAGACTACCTGGGAGTACTGACTGGTTCCTGAATTTCAAAGAGTACCATGCCAGAAATTTGAAAACCCTGCAATCTTTTTGTATTTGGGGGCTGTCCTTTTTTCTCTCACTGTAATAATTTTATATTACATCGTTGTTGATGGATAAACATGCTTTTATTAAAAAATGAATTAAACAACAAATAAGTTTCTTTAGTAATAAGACAGAGTTAAGGGACTAGAGAGAGGGCTCAGTGCTTTAAGAGCACGTACAGAGGACCAGAGTACAAACGTGTAGCTCATAAGAACCGTAACTCTAGTGCCAGGGTATCTGCGCTCTACTGGCCTCCATGGTTACCAGGCACGCATATATATGTATGGTGCACATACTCATACACATAAGACCAACCTAAAAACACATTTTTTAGAAAAAAAGATTCAAACGCTGCATAATTCAAAACCCAAAGATAGAGCGAATCTATAACACCAATCCATCGCATGAAATCAAGGAATTAAGTATAAAAATTTTGTACAGTTGAGATAAAAGTGTCGCTGAGGCCTTCCAGGTTCCAGGATCTTTTGATCCACGGCCTCAAGGGACGCCCACATGGGGATTCGAGCCATTTGCTAGCAACCCCTAGGCAACACCTCTGAACCCCAGGACAAAAACAGGAAACTGAGCCGGGGGAGGGGCTGCGCAGGCGCACTGACTTCACCCCTTTCCTCTCAGGAGTCTAATGACTGTCCAGGGCCGTCATTCCGGAAGTGGGTGTGGAGCGTGGCAGGGACCTCCAGGGTCAGAGCTCAGGGAACCCTGCCAGGACTAGACCGCGCCCGGTACTTTCCAAGCCGCTTGCTCAAGGAGAGGGCGGGGCACTCGCGGAAGGGGCGGGGCGTTGGAGGAGGCGGGACTTCACGGAAAGGGCCTAGCTGCCCTGAGGTCGTCTCTAGCTCTGCTGCTGAGGAGGACGATGTGAGCGACAGGTCTGTCCTCCCGAGACGATGCTCGCTGTGGTGGGCGCCGCGGCCGTGGTGCTGCTGGCCGGGGCGCCTTGGGTGCTGCCCTCAGCCGCAGGTGAGCCGAGGGGCCTGGGTGAGGGCCAGGCAACGGGGAAGGAGAACTGGGTGCGGGTGACCGGAGTCCCCGCGCGCTCACCACGACGGGAGCAGGCACCGCTCTCCAGCCTGAGGACGCTGACCTGGCTCCGAGCCTCGGGGTGGCTGGTGGGTGGGAGACCAGACAGCAGCAGAAATGCGCTTCCCATCCTAGTGCCATTTGTCCTGGGCTGACGGAGGACTGTGCTGAGAGTTCCCGTAACGGGCCCGAAGTCGCAGCAGGCTAACAAAACAATAACAAGTAAGCCAAGAAACCACTGGGCTAGTTACATCAGAGAATGCCCACTACGGGTGATAGACAAGAGACATCTTTTCATAGTAATGTTAGGAACCCAAAAAAGACGACCTAGCCTCACTCCTGGAGATAAGTTCCGCTTAGAAATCGGTACATCTGGGAGGTAAGTAATGCCTCAAGTCTCACCCTGAAGATGGCCCATTTCTGGCCAGACATGCACATGATGTACACGCAGGCAAAGTGGTTACACACATAAAGTAAATCTGAAGAATATTATGAACAGTATACTGTAGCTGCTACAAATCTTCTTGGATCTTTTGTTAATCTTATAAGCACAACTGCTGCCCTTTCTGCACAGAATCTGTAAATTCCAACAGTTGGGATGAGGATCAAGCTAAGAGGATAATAAGGATAATAGTATAGATTCCGTTTAGGGATGAAATCAAAGGCTCTGTTCAGGGTACTGAAATGTGGCTCAGTGATAGTGTGTACTTGGCATAGACAGCACTGAAAAACTGAAAACTTAGAGTGGGAAGACTTGATGGATAGCTCCTGGTGGCTAAAAAGTATCTAACTAGAGAGAGTCCATAATCCTCTGCAGTAGAAGCTTGCCAGGCAATATGACAGGATAGTCTGATGCAGAAGTTTTCAAAACAAGAAATAACAGTGGAGCCAGACATAAAGTTAAAAGACACTTTTTAAAATTATAGCCTAGGAACTGGAGAGATGGCTCAACAGGTAAAAGCACTTGCTGCTCTCGTAGAGGGATGGGTTGGCTCCCAACACACACTTCGTGATTTGCAACCTTCCCTAAATCCTGCTGTATTCCAGGGGATTTGAATATGCACTTCTGACTTCCCTGGGTGCGAGGCCCATGTGTTGCATACACAAATGTGAAGACAAAACACTTACACACATACAGTAAATCTTTAAAAAAAAAAAGTAGCCTATTAGAACTGGAGATAAGGCAGAATGGTAGAGTTCTTGGAAGATCAATCACAGTACAACAACAACCAAAAAAAAAAAAAAAAAAAGGCGAAGATTTTAGCTTGTTAAGTGAATAGCCAGTCACTAGTGATCTTTTAGAAGTCCCCATGAGCTCACCATTTAGTGGGAAAAAAACTACAAGACATACATGACTGTGCTTTTAAAGATCGTGCAGTCTGATTTGAGAGCTGTGCTTCACAAGGAAGTAGAGTTTATTCCTGTTGGTGTATTTTGTGTTGTATTTTGTTGTTTTGAGACACAGTCTTGGTATATAGCCAAGTTGGCTATAAATAATCTTCCTGCCTCAGCTTCCCAAGTGCTTGGACCACAGGAATTGAGCACCATGCCCGGTAAAAAAAAAAAAAAAAAAAAAAACAGGCTTTAGGGCTGTAGAGCTGGCTTGGCAGTTGAGTGTATACTGCTCTTTAAGAGGACCTGAGTCCAAGCTCCCATGTTGGAAACCTCACAGCCACCTCCAGCCCTAGGAAATCTCAACATGATATTCTGGCCCAAGAGGGCACCTACAGTCATTGCCACATTACCCACACATAGACATATAAACATACCTTAAAAAGTGCTTTAAAAACATACCTTTTTTTTCCAGTATTCTAGAAATATGACTAGCGTAGGCAGCATCAGGAGACAACACTTGCACTGCCTTTGAAACTATTTTGGAAATCTCTGGAGCCTGCCAAAGGCATCTTCAAGGGAAGACTTGATGAGCAGTCATGGTTGTATCAGTATCAGACAAAAAGATCTTTAAGTCATTAACACAAAGGAGTGACTCTGCTTTGAAGGGAAATTAAAAACTTTATTCTGAAACATGAGTGGCCAAAAATACACATGACCAAGAATACATGTCCAAGGAGGTTACATGAATTTTTGTAACCATAGAACAGAATGTTCCATAAATACAGGGAATGGTGAGGGTCATTTACATAGACATACATGTTCAAAGAGTAAGGGAACTGGTTCTTGGAAGAATTGTCTAAATCAGAAGTCTACTCTCTACCTACTTGTCCTGGAAGTGCTAGATCACATTCAAAAGATCAGCAGCGGCACTTGTTTCTGAAGGCTCTGGAGTGTGACCTTTGTCCCAAGCCTCCCAGTACCTGAGGTGCAGATGAGCCTGAGTTTTCACTCCTTTTGGAGGAAGAAGCTGTCTAAATACAGTCCTTGCTTGAAGTGTCCTATTGTGATACTGCTTCTTTGGAAGTGTCTAACTCACACAATTAAGGCTACAAGAGACAAAGTATTACATACTAATAAAGGCTCAATACTACTAGGTACAGCACTTACAGAGGTCTATGTGCCTTGTGTTTAAATTGTATACCATTTGAATTATTGTGATGAAATCTCTCTGTCCTTCCTGGGATGGGGATCTTCCCTTTGTCCAGGGTATCCAAATAACCAGGGAAATAATGGAGATTGTATTCAGGAAACCCTCTTATTTATCAATAATGTCCCCTGTAACCCCAACCCCACTGTAATCCCAGTGTATCGTATTTATTTTTATAATCTTATTTGGTCTATTTTGTTAAATTTTATCATAACTGTGTACATACATATGTAGAAATGAAGCCGGGTCGAACTGGACTCTTAACTACAGTCTTAGGCATCCACTGTAGGTCTTGGGCTACAACCCCCACATCAGAGGGGACTACTGTATACTTTGTTATGTTTGAATAAATTCTGCCCTGGGGCTGGAGATGGCTTAGTCATTGTTGCACTTGCAAAGACCTGGGTTAAATTCCCAGCATCCACTTGGTGGTTCACAACCATATGTAAGTGAAGTTGTAGGAGGTCTGACACCCTCCTCTGACCTCCATGGAGTACATACATGCAGGCAAAACATTCTCACATAAATCTAATTTAAATTTTTAAAAATACAATTGTTATTTGACAGGATTAAAATATAGTTACATTATGTCCCCTATTCCTTTCTTCCTTTCATACCCTCCCATGTACCACCACCTACCTACCCTCTTATACAACTTTTATGTGTGTGTGTGTGTGTGTGTGTGTGTGTTCATCTGTATTCCTAAATACACAATTAACAACCTCAATCTGTTTGTTACTTGTGTGTATTCAGGACCATCAAATGTATCCACTTGATACTAGATAACTCAGCGGTGTGTTCTTCCCTGGAGAAGACTATTCTCCTGCTTTCAGTTGCCTGCAGTCCACCACCACCCCTACCCACTCACCAAGGATTGAGAGCTCCAGAGCTTTTTCCCTTCTGCGTTAACATGCTGACTGGTAGTGTGCTTATTTAGGTCATGGTTAGGCAGTCACGTTGGCGAGACTTCATGGGTATAGCTGCTAACATCTCCAGGAGACACAATCTCACAGCAAAATCCGTGTTCTTCTGGCTCTCAGAGTCTTTCACCCTCCTCCTCCACAGTGATCCCTGAGCTGTAGGTGCAGGAGCTGTACTGTAGGTATCAGCTGGGCCTGGGATCGCACTTTCCATCTGTGACAAAGAGAAGTTTCTTTGATGATATGTGAGAACTGTACTTACCTGTGGGCATAAGGAGAAATATTTAGAATACAGTTAGTCACTGTGCTGGTTTTTTAAAGTGAAGGTTGTAGGTTCTCTTCCAAGGCTCTTGACTTCCCCAGCCCTAGGCATTTGTCAAGGTTTCTGGTACCAGGTGTGATTTCTGTCTTACTGAACAGATCTTAAGTCTAATTGGAGAAGTGCTAGTAACCACCAAGATACGTGTGCAACCATTGCACCCCTGGGGTTGCTGTGCCATCCGTGCTGTTCATTGTTGTGGTTTGTAGGCATCACAGCAGAAAAAAAAAATGAAGTGAGTGCATTGGGTCATGTTGTTGATGTGTTTAACAACAACTTATAAAACATTTTACAGCATGTAAATAATCATTTTGTTGCTTATTGGGTTTATAGGTGGAGAAAATCTGAAGCCTCCTGAGAATATAGACGTCTACATTATAGATGACAACTATACCCTAAAGTGGAGCAGCCGCAGAGAGGCAATGGACAATGTGACGTTTTCAGCGGAATATCAAGTGTAGGTGACCGATGGGCTTGCCGGGATGATAGGGGTCATTTTTGTGATTTCACCACCATAATTTTCTTTTAATGTAGGAAGCATTTGGTTGTTTCCACTATAGGAAATGTTATATCTACTTCACATCATATTTATAACTTTATTCACTGGAGACCGAGCTGAGATGACTGAGCAAGTAAAAGTGCTTGCCCCAAGCCTGACACACCGAGTGGATCTCTAGAACCCACATGGAAAGTAGGAGCCAATGCCTGCAAGTTGTCCTCTGACCTCCACTTATGCTGTGGTGTGTGTAAGAGTGTGTGTGTGTGTGTGTGTGTGTGTGTGTGTGTGTGTGAGAGAGAGAGAGAGAGAGAGAGAGAGAGTCAGTGTGTGAGAGAGAGAGTGGGTGTGTGTGGATGTGAGAGAGAGGAGGGGGAGTCTGTCTGTCTTCAGGAGGTTTGAGGATACCTCCCCTTCATGGATGTCACATACTCTTTAAATGTATAACGGCACTTCAACTGTGGGGACTGTGTGGAGAGTGCCAGAGGACCGTGCTGGGCCTTGAAACAGCCCCAAGCCACTGCGGCTAGTTTTTCTGTCATTTGCATCACACACAGTGGTTTCTTTTTCTTTTCTAAATTTCAGGTTTGTCTTATGGACTGGAGAGATGGCACAGCAGTTAAGAGCACTGGCTCTTCTTACAAAGGTCCTGAGTTCAATTCCCAATAACCACATGGTGGCTCACAATTGGATCTGTAGTCGGATCCGATTCCCTCTTCTGGTATGCAGATGTACAGGAAGACAAAGCATTCATATAAACCTACAAAAAGAAAATTTTCTAGGTTTATTGTATGTATGTGTTTTGCCTGTATGTATGAACATGTGCCACCTGCATATGTGATGCCTGTAGAGGTCAGAGGAAGGCGTCGGATTCCCGAGACTATAGTTAGGGAAGGTTGTAAACCACCTGTGTGCTGGGAACCTAACCTTCATCCTCTGCAAGAGCAGTAAGAGCCACTAACCACTGAGCCATCTCTCCACCCCCAGTGTTGTCATTTCAGATACAGTTCCTCCACATCAGTGTTGTAGACCCTTCATTTCCACAGACTGGAGGTTTTTGTCAGGGCCTCTTTCTCAGTACTGACCTTCTATTTCCCATTCTCCAAGAGGATAGGCAGAGAGCCTCAGAAGGCAGGCTCACAGGAGGGGCAGCCCTCCATCTCCTGCTTGGTGTTGGGGCCCCATCTGCACCTCTCTGTCCCCTGTGTAGGGTGAAGACAGCAGGGAAAGAAGGAGCTGTGAGCTCTTTCCAAGTCAGGGCCCCAGAGCTTCACCCACCAGGTTGCCCACTGGTTACTAAATGGGAATAGTGATCTTACAGCTTCCTGAGTGTGTCTGTGACACAGACCGTTTTACCTCTAGTGAGTTTTCTGTATGTAAGTTTCAGTTCTGATACCACTTGGTTTTTGCCATAGGCTGGAATTTTTTCATCCACCAGCTGGCTTATGTATAGGATATTGAGGAAACCCTTAAAGTTACCCTATAATAACGAGCAAACAGCCATAGTCTCAGCCACCTTCAACATCAGCCCCAGCTGCCTCCCAATCTTCTGACCCAACATGTACCCACAGTAACTAATGTACACACCCACATACAGAAACATTCACACATCATTTTAAAAGAAGTCTTTGAAGAATTAAAAAGTCCGGGAAACAGACAGTAATTGGCTTTGGAAAGGCAGAGGAAAAGTCAGCACAAAGCACTGAGGTCTGTCGAAGGTTAGGTAGTCGATTCCTGGGGGTTTCAAGAGGGATTATCAGCTCAATTTCCAATTTTTCTATAAGGAAATTAAAGTCCAGAAATACAGGTTCACTTAACAGAAGTCATAGTTATCATGTATCAAGCCAGCCAGATCTGTTTCTGTCGTATAGATGATTAATTTTTGTTTCCTTGAAATGCTAATGTAACCACTCATGATATTAAAGCAAAAACTATTAAAAATTAACTAAATAAATGTCTGGGGCAACCAGGCGGTGGTGGCACACGCCTTTAATCCAAGCACTTGGGAGGCAGAGGCAGGTGGATTTCTGAGTTCAAGGCCAGCCTGGTCTACAGAGTGAGTTCCAGGACAGCCAGGGCTACACAGGGAAACCTGTCAAAAAGAAAAAAGTTAAGAAATGTCTAATTATTCTGAGTAGTAACTTGACTCATATATATCAAAAAAGAATCAGAAGTTCTACAGGGAAATGTTAACAAAACAAAATCAATTCTTTTCCATTTTATTTTTCCCAGATATTTTTCTCCTGTCATTACAAAGCCACCTCCTCCTGTGGGCTTTGGTAGAGGTCACAGGGCAGCCCCTGCAGGTCTAAACTGTGCCCTTCCAGGCCTCATGAGATGGATTCCTGGCAACCCTGCAATGAGTAGCACACAGTAATGCAGCTTGACATAGACCTTTGAAGGCACTTGCTTTAGAATGTGTCTAATGGCAGCAGTCCTACAGTACTCCACATAACAAACATCTTAATGTCCTTGTCCCTGGACACGCCCTGGACACAGTCCATGCAGTAAATTGTCTGCTCATCGCTGCCAGCCGTTAGAAGCCACCATTGTTCACTTGAGGGGATTTTGACCTTTCACTGGGGCTTGTTCCATCAGCACACAGTGACACTCACCACAGGAAATAAATTCTTAAGCTACCTATGATGGTGAATAGAAAATACATTTTAAAAGTCCATATATACATTAGCTCATTCAGATTTTTTATTATTATTATTAAAAGAGAAGAAGAGGTGAAGTGGATAAAAGTCCCTGAATGTCAGCATATTCCAAGGACCAAATGCGAATTCTCTTTACTGAGCGTAAGTGCTTATGACAATGTAAAGTTTCGTCTAAGAGCAGAGGAAGGGATCAGCATGTCTTCATGGAAGGAGACCGATCCATTTATTCCAATCTACAGAGGTAAGAAGTCGCCACTGGCTGGCTGCATTGTTACTCTCTAGTGAACATTACCAGAGTAATTCTGTCTAAACCCGTCCATGAGTGTGGTGCAGTTCCCTCCCACCAAGGCCCGCATTTCTGGCCTTCTGTATTAGACGATTTCCCAGTGTGGTCACTGGGAGCCTTTAGCAGGTCCGTGAAGCCAGGGCTCTTTTTTCCTAGAATTTCAGAGATGTTATTGGCGTGTTCATTAGGATTATCTCTTATCGACACAATGGACGTGTATAACTTACTGCAGATGTTGGTTAGTCCACATGTTAATGAGTTGGTTTTGTTTTCTTTTCTTTCTTTCTTTTTTTTTTTTTTTTTGGTTTTGGTTTTGGTTTTGGTTTTGTTTTTTTCAAGACAGGGTTTCTCTGTATAGCCCTGGCTGTCCTGGAACTCACTCTGTAGACCAGGGTGGCCTTGAACTCAGAAATCCGCCTGCCTCTGCCTCCCAAGTGCTGGGACTAAAGACGTGTGCCACCGCTGCCCGGCTGTTTTCTTTTTTAAATGTAGAGCAGTATCATACCTTTAAGTTTTTGGGTTTCATTTGTTTGTTTGTTTTTCTTTTTTAGAAAAGTGCTTTTGCCAGGCTATGGTGGTGTAAACCTTTAACCCAAGCAATGGGGAAACAGAGCCAGGTGGATCTCTGAGTTCCAAGACAGCAAAAGCTACATAGAGAAACTCTGTCTCAAAAACAAACAAAAAAGTGTTTTATTTTAATGTGCCCAATAGTGTTTCCATTTTACTCATTTTAATGGTCATTAATATGCTAAATGTCAAAAGATATGACCTTGTAATCAGAAGCCCTTCGACAGCCTCATCCTCTCTTTTCAGCTTTATTTTCATGTATATGTGAGAGGTCTGTGAGGATGTGTCACATGTGAGGAGGGCTGGTAGAGGCCAGAGGAAGCTGTAGAACGTGCTGGCAGCGGAGGTACGCGCAGCCTGACAGGAGCTAGGAACTGATGCTGGCTCCTCTGGAGGAGCAGCAGATGTCCGAACTGCTGAGCTGTCTCTCTACCGCTCCCCATTTCTGTAAGGGGATGGAGATACAGAAAAGGTCATGGAATGCTGTCCTGTTCTGTCTTACAACACAGTGGCCTGCATACACTCTTTCACCTCTATTTGTTTCTCATTGCTGTCACATCCCTCCCTCTCACATGTTACAGAAGTCAGCAGCCATGCCTTCTAACAGATTTGTGCCCAGGCTTCAAGCTTGGTGCCACTGAGCACACCTTGGACACAGCTCTCTACCCTCGAAGCGCTTCCTGTCCTGGCTCACCAGGGCACTGCTCACTCCTCAGACTCCTGATTGCTCCCAGTTTTTCCTTTTCATTTGTTCTTCGTTCTCTTCTCCAAGAAATTAGGGATGGGCAGGAATCGGGCGGCCATGAAACTGTTTTTGACTCCCAGAATTTCCTCTCCTGCCCCTGTCCTCCCTCTGAGCATAAGACTGGTGACACCGACTCCATTCAGAGTCTACCAACACATTAAAAGCCATCCCACAATAAAAATGGTCAAATGAGGCAGGCACTCAGTCTCTCCCTCAGCCCTTCCTGCAGCCCTCGCCTGTCTTTGGGAATGACATCAGCTGGGTATGTGCTCAAGCTCGGACCTCGGACTCATCCTTGGCCTTTTTCTCATTGTATACCTGTAATGATCTGGATTAGCATGGGCTCATACATTTCAATACTTGGTGGAACTATTTGGGAAGGACTAGAAGGTGTGGCCTTGTTACAAGTGTGTCACTGGGAGTCAGCTTTGATGTTTCAAAAAGCCATGCCATTCCCAGTCCGTGCTCTTGGTCTCAGTCTCTGCCTCTGCCTCCTGCTTACGGGTCAGATGTAAACTCTCATGGACTGTCTACCACCGTGCCTGCCTGCTTGCCTCCCTGCTCCTCTCTATGAGGGCCACGGATTCTGCCAGCATGAGCCCCAGTTTTCTTTGACAAGTTGCCCTGGTCATGGAGCTTTGACACATAATTGGAAAGTAACTCAGACAGTCAGTGCCTTAACACATTCTTCCTGACCCATCAGGTGAGCATATCAGAGATGGCACCTTCTACCTTTTTACCAAGGCTCTTCACTTTCCCGATTCCTTGCTGACATCCCTGCCTCCTCATCCCTTGGCCAGGCTAATCATTGTAAATCTGAATGGGACTGTGGCTCTTTGCCAACCTCAGCTCCTCCCACACACCCTGTACACACGCTGTCCTATCTTAAGGGACTTCACAAGCTATCCACAGGGTCTGGGCTGCTTTTCCACCATTGATTTGCTTCTTCTGGGAGGTTTCAGAACAGCTTTCCTGGTAACTTGTCAGAAACAGCATTTGCCGCCATCTCCACCCGTATCTGTTTTTCTTTTGTACATAGATGCATATCTCTGGAGGTTGCTTTTGCCATGTCTTCCCAAAGTGTAAAACACGTGGGACTTTTCTCTGTCTTGCTACACCAAGGAACATTGCTTATTATTAACATTTTAGAGTGGTACTACTGAAGTTATGTAATTGTTCTTTGATGTCAACAGCTCACATCAGCCCTCCAGGAGTACATTTAGAAGCTGAAGATAAAGCCATAATAGTCCACATCTCTCCTCACGGACAAGTGGGGAGCATGTGGGGACAGGAAAACTTCAATTACACGATACTAATCTGGCAGAAGTCTTCCAGTGTTAAAGTAAGTGTCTTTTTTTACCTGTTTGATGTGAGAGAAAAGGAGGTGAATAAATTCTAAAATTTGACTGTATTTTTAAAATTTTTTATAGAATATTACTAAACCTACATATTATCCAGTAAAGATATCAAAACTCTTGCCAGAGACTACTTACTGTTTGGAAGTTGAAGCAATACATCAGTCATTTGAGAAACACAGCAACTACAGTGCAGTGCAGTGTATAAGGACCGCAGGTGAGGAAGGCCTCTGACGTTAGCCTCAGGAACTAGATACTCACAGCTTTTTAATTGGGACATTTTCTCCTCTTAATTCCTGACCATTTTATATGATGACATTTTACGATGGCTTAATAATCACTAAAGCAAACCACTGAGTGGGGGGGGAGCGTGTGGTTCGACACTTGTCTAGCACACAAAGGTCCTAGTTCAATCCCCAGTACCACACATGGAAGGAAGGGAGTGAGGGGCAACAGGAGGAAAGGTAACAGCACTTACAGAAACCAAAAATCATTTTCTTGGCAATTTTTGTCTCAATACTATGTATTAAAATTAATTCTACTCAAAAGTTGATTTTTTTATAGTATCATAAATGATTTTTACTTATCTGTAATACCTAGTGTAGTTGTTAGCAGAATGACTGGTATCCACCCATGCACATGAATTGTCAACAGCCTGAAGCACTGCTACCCTGGCCAGTAATTGGGGTCAGGGTGGGAACTTGGTCTGTTCATGGTTTTAGTTACAAATTTAGTATGTTTTGGCTCTTAAAGTCAAATTAGATAAATGTGGTTCTGTATCATTATCTTAAAATGTATGGATTCTTTGGCTTCTAGTGGCAAATAAATTGCCTGTGCCAGAAAATCTAGAAGTGGATGCCAAAGGCAAGAGCTATGTTCTGAAATGGGACTACGTATCACCAAACATGAGCTTCAGAGCACAGTGGATCCCGTAAGTTCCTTTCTTAAATGTTCCTTTACCCATTCTGCTTTGTGTTCACACTACTTCTTTGTGCAAATTCTTGCACAGAGTGACTGGCTGAGAGGGGGTGTGGTGTGTTGGGAAGCAGGGACTTTGATTGTAGGATTCCTGCTCCAGGGAGAGAGGTGATGACTGTCAGGGCAGAGATCGCCTGACCTCTGCACATCCCCACACATGCACCAGTGTATGCATCACATGCAGCTGGATGTGCGTGTACACATGCTCAAGCGTGCGCGCGTGCACACACACACACACGCACACACACACACACACACACACACACTGGCTCAGGTGCAAAGAAAAGAGAAATAATGTGTAACTGAGGAGAGTGGTTTCAGACAAACGTGCCTGTCTCCTGCATGGTCCTGAGGCTGTGGACCGAAGCCATGTTCTGAAGCTATAGCACTGAGGCAGCATCTCAGAGGTCCTTAGATGAGACTATGACGACTGCTGATTAGAGCCTTAGCTTAGGCTAGTTTCCGTCGTATAACTTCTTTAACCCGTTTATTCTAATCTCAGTTCTGCCATGTGGCCCGTTAGTTACCTCTCCTTTAGTCCTAGTAATTCTTTCTTCCTCAGAGCCTGGCTGGTGAATCTCCCAGAGTTCCTCTCTGCCCGGAAGACCCACCTATCCTCTCCTGCTTTGCTGTAGGCCATTGAGCTCTTTATTAAACCAATCAGAAAGTGATAAGGAAAATGTTTACAAAACACTGAGACAGGTGATGCTTCATAGAAATAACAATACCAAAGGCTCCAGTCTCTGGTGGAGAAGTCAGCATTTGAATAATACAAAGACAGTCTTTACAGGGTGCACAAGAGATTATCTCAACATATGACCTTTTCACCTGTGTTAAGGGTTCATCTCAGAGGTCATGTCCACTACAGAGATGTTAAATTCCATTATGGCAGATTGGACCCTTAGTTACAGCTTCACACTCCCCTTCTCTTTGCCAGATAATGTGCCCTGAGGGCAGCCACTGTCTCTTCAGGTCTAGCCCACACTGTATGGAGTGGATCCTAAGAAGTGTGCCCCAGAGGAGGGAGGAGCCTGGGCATGTCCTAGAATATTGCCTGCCATGGTAGGAGGGTGTCCTTCTAGAAGAACAGGATATTTGAACAAAGAGAAGTGATTTAAGAAAACAAAACTAAAAGAGGGAATTTTGTGCTAGAGGCAAGGTGGCATGGAGTCTGTTTGGGAAAGCTATATATGGCCAGTTTCTCTGTGGGGCCCTGTGCTCAGGTAGTGTACACTTGTGTGAGCTGTGGTCTCTGGCCAGGGGCTCACCCTTGGTGGGATGTTCTCTGTAATGGATGGCACAGATATGTGTTACAAGGCTCCTGCAGGGCTGTGTCAGCACAGCAACAATCTCTCCAGAAGGGAAAAGACACATTTGTAGTGCTAGCCAACTTTTGTGACTGAAGTGTTCCCATTGTGAAGGTATTAGCTTGAAGTCTGTGAATGTGAGCCTGGGGTGAATGCATGCACGTCATGCAGTTAGCTAGGGTATTGTAGCATATGATCGCTGAAAGGGGCTTCAAGAACAGACAAGATTTAACTAGGATTTCTCAGCTGTGGTTAGTACTGCTGTGATGAATCACTGTGACCAGATCCAATCTGGAAGGAAAGGATTTATTTCACTTACACATCCATATTGTAGTCCATCACTGAAGGAAGTCAAGGCAGGAACTCAAATCAAGCAGGGCAGGAGCCTGGAGGCTGGAGCAGATGCAGAGGCCGTGGAGTGGTGCTGCTTACTGGCTTGCTCTTGAGAGCTTGCTCAGCCTGCTTTGTTGTAGAGCCCCAGACTAGATGTCTCCACACAGATGCCTGGCTCCTCCCCAATAGGTCACTAATTAACAAAATGCCCTAAAGGCTTGTCTACTTAGAGCCTGGACCATCTGGAGGCATTTTCTCAATGAGGTTCCCTCCTCTTAGATGGCTGTAGCATGTACCAAGTTCACATAAAACTAGCTAGGGCATAGGACAAGGTAAATTTTGAATATTTTTAGTAAGTTTTTATTTCTGAATTTGTATATCAGCCTTTTAATAATAACCTGCTTAAAAAATATGTTCTGCTTTGGAGAGATGACTTAGCAGCAAAAGCACTTACCAGAGTTAAGATCCCTAGAACCCATATGCAGGTGCCTACAGGGCACTACACCTACAGGTGCGGCAGCATCCTTAACCCCAACATTTGAAAGACAGGGATGGGTATTAGAGCAAACTGGCCAGCTAGACTACTCAAATCAGCAAGATGGAGGTTGGGTAAGATCGTGCACCTCAGTAAAGTGGAGAGCAATCAAGGAAGACACTTGTCTTCTATTTCATGTCTTCATACGAACTCATGTGCGCCTACAAACACAGTCACACATGCACACACACACACGCGCGCACGAATGCACGCACATATATACACACACACAGTGAAGAACAGCTTGCCACTTCACAGGGAATTCCTCACACACTCTGGAGCACCCGTGGCTTTCCTTTGTTGGGAATCTGTGTCTCCTCCATTGTACCAAGAGTTCCCTAAGTGGGAGACTGCCCCCAGGTCCACAGTGCTTACTACAGTGTCTGATATATTATAAATCCTGAGTACATATTGACTGAATTGATAATTGAATTGAATTTTGTTGTTCTGTTTTGTTTTGTTTTCAAAGTGGCTATTTAAAAAGTAGTTCTAGAAGCTATACAGATAAATGGAAAACAATACCTACCTGTATAAATGTCTCGACTACGCACTGTGTCTTTTCTCGAGATACTGTCCACACAGGAACTTTCTTTCTCCGTGTACGAGCCTCAGATGGAAATAACACGTCCTTTTGGTCTGAAGAGAAATATATTGCTTCTCAAAATTACAGTAAGCCAACTTTTCTTTGAGACAGTCTGACACTGTATAGCTCAGCCTGGCCCGGAACTCACTGTGTAGCCCAGGGTAGCTTCAAACTTATGGCAGTCCTCCTGTCTGAGCTCCTGAGAGCTGAGGTTATGGGTGTGGTCCATGCCTGGTGTATACCAAGCATTTACTTGAGAGTGTAATTTCTTCATGTAGTGCAAGTCCAGGAAGATTGTTTGAAAGTAAGTGTCTTAGTGCACAGTTTGTGTTTGTATTCTTCCTAGCTCCCCTTCCTCCTCCGGCCATTGCTGTCACCCCCACAAGGGACACATTGCTTGTTCGTGTTAGTGGCAACAAATGTGATGGACTCATTTATGAAATCATCTTTTGGGAAAACACTTCCAACACTGAGGTAAAAAGCTACACAGTAACGTTGTGACTTAGCCTCATGACCGTAATAATGGGAAAGAAAGTTAGTGGGGGAGGAGGGCGAGAACAAGCAGTCACAGCTTTAAGGTTTGGGCCCTTCTAAACATGATGGTGGCCTGTCTGCTGTAGAGTGAAGGTCAGCCTTTTCCATAGTCTGCATGACAGTACAGGTCGCCTGCATCTGGGCCTGACTTTGCTGTGTGTGAGTGTACAGGAGTGTGTGCAAGTGTGTGTGTGTGTGTGTGTGTGTGTGTGTGTATGTATATGTGTATATGTGAATGTGTGTGTGGGGGAAGATGTGACTGTATGATGAATGTGCATGTTGACAATTGCTTATTTAATGTGTGTGCATCACAGGGCACACATGGAGGCCAGATGACAAGCTGTGGAAGTGAGTTCTCTCCTACCTTATACTCCCAGGGATTGAGTTTAGGTCATCAGGGTTTGCAGCAAGCATCCTTAGCCGCTCGGCCATCTTGCTTTTGAAATATCACCTTGAGTCTGTTGCTGCTGAATTAGAACCATTCTTACCATGATTCCCAAGTGCTCTTCCAAGGCTAAGGTTTCTCTGCACTAGTGACACTTGAGCCAGGTGATTCCTGTGCTAAAGTTCTTATTTACAGGATACTTAACGTCACTAGGCTCTTCCAGGTGTCCACCACTTCCTCAGAGTTGTGTCAACCAAGTGTCTACAGGTGTTACCACATGTCCTCAGCTGGTAGCTCAATGGAGACAGAATTGATTCTTAGGAGACAAAGAGCCTTAAACATGATTGTGAGTTGTGTGGACTCCAGAAGGAGAGGAGCCTCCAGTGTTCAACTCAACCCATGAGGAACTAGCTAATGGTGTCTTTCTGGAGTAGTAATGAATGCAGTACTTTGACGGAAGCCCTCCGTCCTCTGCCATTGCTCCCTGTGGAACTTCAGTCAAAGAATCAAGCATAAGAATCGTGTGCAGTTGAGGTAGTAAATGTTGTCTCTTCATTTTTGGTTGGAAATTTAAACAAATTCCAACGCACTGGCTGCTTCCTCTTTAGCTGTGTGCCCTTGCTAGCGTCATTTGAGTCAGTGAGAGCTAGCATCAGCACTTACCTGTCCTGAGATCAGACACCAAGTCTGTGGCCCATGCTGAAAGACCACAACTGACCTTTGATGACTCTAAAACTGTGGTTACCCTAGCAACTCAGGTCTGCAAGATGTTGCCAGATTTGGTATGAGGTACACCTAGAACACATAACACTGTGCTTTGCTAGATGAGAGACTCAGTGCATGTTTGTGGCTGTGCTGCCCCCTGCTGGCTAGATAGTTGTGTAATCGCAGTAGCAACTGGTTTATTGACTATTTCAATATATCCAGACTTGTGCTAAGGTTTTTACATGAGTTGCCCTGTCTTTCTTCAAAACAACCCTGGGAGACAGTATTTGTAATTCATTTGTTCAGCAAATACAGGGTGAGTATTGCTGACTTCTGTACTAATGCCTGAACGCACAGGCTGTGTCCAGAAGCCCTGAGTGTGCCTGGTTTGGCCTGTGCTTCAGCTGTGTGCAGGGATATGCATGCTACAGAGTCTCTGGGTCAAAGAGGATGATGCTCGTGGCTGGCTTGAGGCCAGCTCGTGGACGGCTCTTAGAGCTACCCCAGCCAATCTGTGGCCTCGTGTGAAAAATGGTGTTTCAGCTGCTGAGTGTTGGAGTGGCTTTGTTACACAGCACTGTTATAGCCATGGCTGACCACTACAGACAGGAGTGATGATTCTCCTCCCTTCACAGATGGAGAAATAGGTGCCAATGAGATGATCACACAAGGCAACTGGCTTTCTGGAAGCTACTGTGGGCAGTGCGGGCTGGAGGGAGGGAGCCCTTACTCTTAACTGTTGTCACCATTATTTATAACACGATGGCATTAAAATCAAACCAGCACACTAGTGCCTGTAGAATGAGAATCACAGGGGTACATCTATGCTTTTTAACAGTGATTTTTAACTCTCTGATTTGGTTATAATGAGTTACTTAAAACAAACGTATTGCTTAGACAATATACGTAGGTGCTTGGAAGAGACCAATTGTGAATATCAATAGAGCCCAGAAAATCCATATTCTCTATCTAACTTTATGAAGACTGGATTTAATCACTGTTGTTTTCATGTCTGTAGAGAAGAATGGTGCAGAAGCACCCGGAGTTCACCCTTGGGAACCTGCAACCGCTGACTGTGTACTGTGTCCAGGTCAGAGTGCTCTGCACGGGCCTGCAGAATAAGATCGGCAAATTCAGTGATAAGCTGTGTAAGAAAACACATCCAGGTGAGAACCTTCTAGATGTTTTTAATGCAGCTGGAGGAGATACAAATCCTGCATTGGGATTTATAAAGAATTTCTTCTTTCCTTCAAGTAGTAGAAGTGTCCTTTCTGAACTACAGGGAATCAAAAGTGAACCCTGCCACAACCTGCAGGATCAGAGAGCACTCTTCTGCTCATGGTTCATGTTTACTGTTGCTCAGTTTTTCATCCAGGGTCACGTAATTCATTGCTTTTACTTACCGCTCATTGCCGACCAGTCAGACCACTCATTTGTAATGTCTTTAATGAGCTGGTGGAAGTGGAGTTGTCTGCTGGGAAGGTGCTAAATACACCTGTGTTTTAGTCTTGTTAGTATTTTAGTTCCTAGAGGCAACAGGAAGAGGCTTAGATGTTGACTGTCTTGCCAGTTCCATGCTGTGCAGGGCTGGGGACACCAGCTGTTGGGACCTCTCTGTCTTACAGTTCTTAATCTCCAGGGTCGGTTCTTAGGTCATCTTCACCTGTGACTGTCACTGTCCACCACAGGATACCAAGTGCCCAAAAATGGTTTTCAGAACACTCTGCATTTCCTCTCATATGGCTGGTCTCATAAGCAATATGCTGACGCTCACATTGTTTGTATTTTAGGAAATTCTTCCAGGATCTGGATTATAATTGCATTTGTTGGTATGGTTTTCTCTGTCATGGCCCTTTATGCTGGGAGGAGCCTCCAGAAATACCTGCATTATGTGTTCTTCCCACCACTCAAGCCTCCCCTCAGTATTGATGAGGTACGTTTCTCTTCTTGTCACCCACTAGGAAATGGGAGCAAATGCTTAGATTCCACAGATGTCATTTGCTTTCTTGACATCAGAAAGTTATCAGACTAGGGTGGTTGTTTCTGCAGAATTTCAGTGGTATTAGAAGCCTGCTGTGGTAGTGCATGCCTACAAAACTCAGGAAGGCAAGGCAGGAGATTTGGAGTGAGCTTGAGGCCAGTATGAGCTGAGTACCAGATTCCATCTCCAAAACACAAAAGAAGTTTAGGCCAGCAGGGCTACAGAGAGGCCCTGCCTCAAACCAGGCATGGTGGTGAATTGAGGGGTCAGAGGCCGCTCAGTGAGACCCTGCCTCAGAAACACATGAGAGTGTTACACAGTGATGGTGAATTGAGGGGTCAGAGGCCACTCAGTGAGACCCTGCCTCAGAAACACATGAGAGTGTTACACAGTGACTTAATGTAGAATTGCTATTGTGTTCAGAAGTGGTCTATAATAGCTGTAGATTGGCCTCGGGTGTGTAAGTTGAAGTGTGTAGCCATAGAAGTGAAGGCAGACAGCAGGTGACACAGCATCACTTTGGCACTTAGGGTGTCCCCAGGAAAGAACCAGGAAAGCCCTGCCCAAACACTCCACCTGTGGTTCAGATGCTGCATCTGGGACAGCCATTGTCTCTGTGATACCGGGGGTAGTCACTAGGGACCTCGGTGCCTTCTTGCTCTTCTCCTATGTCCTTGTTACAGGGCTAGAAGGCCAGCTTGCTCCAAGACAGTCAGTCTTGGAGGACCCTTGAGATGAAACATGTTTGAATCTTAGACAAGGGGCCACCTCATTCCCATAGTCAGATCTCAGCAGTACATGGCTGTTTGCTAGTGAAAGGTATATTACAATCTGAATAATGTCTTGTCCCTGCCTATTGTGCCACTTGTCTTGCCATGTCCCATCTATGTGGTTTTTCATACCACATCAGAATCCTATTATCCATCTGCCTTTACCTGGTGCCCTAGATGAAGTCGCAGAAGCTGGAACACCCAAAGCCATGAGTTCCTTTCATGGTGCATGCATGTTTTGCTCAGGACTCCTGTGACATTAGCACCTGAAATGATGGCACTGAGTGGGGAAGGTCTAACCCAGAACCTGAGACCCAGGGCCTAACACTGGGCAAGCTCTGTAAGAGAAGCCAGGCCGTGAGCTGTAAGCACCAGAGGCCCTAAACTGTAAAAGCCTAGAGCTCGGAGCTCAGCACATGCTTACCGCCTGTTAAGAGTTTTAAGTTCCCTTTGAGCTCTGGTAACTACAGCTATGACACAGGTATAACCAGCCCCTTCCTGCCTAGGCAGCAGGGTCACCTTCATCTCTCACTTGTGCTTTTGAGGGCAAGAGAGTTGGGCTGTCACTTCAAAATATCTGTGATCCCAGCACCCCCACCCCAGCCTTGACAGCACAGTGTCCCATGTAAACATTCTTCACAGACTTACACAAAAAAGGCCTTCAGCCTGGTGGCCTCGCTGTGCCTTCTCGGTGTAGCTCACGTGTTGTAATGTACATGCCAAAAGGTTGGACATAAAGCAGAGAAGCCAGAGCTGGAGAGCCAGGTCTGATTTTAAACAACCTGTCTTCTTTCCCTTTTACCATTAGTTTTTCTCTGAGCCACCTTCAAAAACCCTCCTACTTCTGACTGCTGAGGAGCATACCGAAAGATGCTTCATCATTGAAAACCCAGACACGGTTGCTGGAAAAGAACACCATGCACCTGAGGAAGATCTCAGGAAGTACAGTTCCCAGACCAGCCAGGACTCAGGGAACTATTCTAATGAAGAGGAAGAAAGTGTGGGGACTGAGAGTGGCCAAGCTGTGCTCTCTACAGCTCCCTGCGGGAGTCCGTGGAGCGTGGCTTGCCCTCCTGGCACCTTGGGAGATGGGACCTGCTTCCTGGGAAATGAAAAGCACCTTCAGACCCCATCCTGAGGACACAGCCAGCTCTCCACTCCTGACACGGGCTTGCCACAGTCTGGAGCACATGTGGATGAGCAGATTCAACTGAAGGTGGCTGCCAGTTTCTGCTAGCAGCTTACACCCCAGGGTGTTGTTTGGTGCCACAGATGAGGCTCACTGGTGCACAGGCTGTCTGGTGGTTCCCTCTAGGTATTCATACTCCAGGAGACTCTTAGAGCATTTAGCTTTTTAATCCTGCCATAGCCCCTCAGTATTTCAAAGGTACTGTTGTCTACAATAGTGCTTCCTAACCCATAACTTACCCACAGCTGTGGCTTCCTACCAGAAGTCACTGAAACCATGGAGAAGGGACACTAACTGGAGGAGCCGGCATTTCAGATTTCAGTGTGGCCTGGATGTGCACATTGCACTCTAGTACTGTGGAACTAGAAAATGCCAGGGACAAAAAACAGATGTGACATCATTCAGTAAGAGAGAAGCTAGTGAATCTGATGATAAAAGAAGACTGTGTACAGTCAGTGTTTGTATGACCGCCCTGTGTTAGTCTCTGTAGCCTTTCTGAGATACTTTATAAAGCCAGGCCGACCCTCTCTCCTCTGTCCAGCAGTATTCAAGTCTCCCGTCCCAGCTCCATGTACTTAAAAGCAAAGGGTCAGATACTAAGGTGAAGGAATAGTGTTGACTGCATAGTGCTGCCGGCAGGTGCCTGTAAGTAACTTTAAATTGATGCTCCGTGAGTCTCGTTTTTAGGCAGGACATCTAGCAATCCTGGTGGCTCCAGGGCAGACTCTCAGTTCCAGGCCGAAAAGGAAGAGATAGGACTGACAGATCGTAGCTATGGCGCCCACTGTGCTCAGTTCACTGTGCTGCCTACCCTGTGGTCACCGCAGGAAAAGCTCCTTCTGCCAGGACAGCCTACAAAGAAACAAGGCCTAGGATGTGGGGAAGGGGAAGCCCAGATGCTAATAGTGAGTTGTTACTTGGAGCTGTTTCATCCCTCACAAGTGTGACACAGGTCTTCAGGTTGGGGCCCAAAACAAGCTGTTGGTGGCAGCGGTGGGTGAGGAGGGGTCTTCACCTGAGCCTGGCCGTCGAGGTGAGCAAAGGCGGTTCTACCTGCATGCTCCAAGACAGCCTGCATGAAGCTTCCCAGAGCACACCGCCTGCTTGTGAGGTGACAGGGTTTTCCTGAACAGACACATGCTCTTAAGGAATGCCATGCACGTGGGCCTGAAGACCGGCTCTGTAGGTAAAGCACATGTTCTCTTATATGGATCTGAGTTCAGTCCCCAGCACCCACACGGTACTTCACAACTGGCCGTAGCTTTAGTTCCAGAGGATACAGCACTGGCTTCTGGTGGCCTCACACACCGGGGGGTGCACAGGGTGTACATAGCTGGAAGCAAGACACTTGTACGCAGAGAAGTAAAACCTTTCTTTAAAAAAGAAACGCCAGCTGGGCGGTGGTGGCACAGGCCTTTAATTCTAGCACTTGGGAGGCAGAGGCAGGCAGATTTCTGAGTTCAAGGCCAGCCTGGTCTACAGAGTGAGTTCCAGGACAGCCAGGGCTACACAGAGAAACCCTGTCTCGAAAAACAAAACAAACAAAAAATAATAATAACAAAATAAAAAATAAATAAAAAAGAAACGCCATGCACGAAAGGGCACCAACCAAGTGCCTGCCCCTTGTTTATACTGATAGTACTTGGAGAAGCTGAACGCCGACTAAGATCCGTGTAAAGCCTCGTGACAAAGTGGTGCTCTCTTACACACATGTAAATAGTAACGGGCCCAACTGTGCCTGGCTTGTTCCCTTCCCAGCAGCCTAGGAATGTGGGGCCAACCTGAGCAACATAGCAAGAGCCCATTGGCTCAGAATGTCCAGGTGTAGATGTGTGTGTGTGTGTATTTAGGTACTAGGTAAAATATAGAGCCCTACAGGCTTCAGACAGCCTCATACTTCCCTTGGGACCTGGGGGAATGTGCTAGAGAAGCCTTCCCCACCCCCACTGAAGCCTCGTGTACCTGCGTGCATTGGTCCTTTGGTGTTTGTCTCCTTCTATTGCAGAAGTTCTTTGAGCAGGGGCTAAGCTCCTCCCTGTGCCCCCAGCCCCTGTGACAGTGCAGCGCTGGCACAGATGGTGCCTAGCAGCTACCAAATGAATGAGCTCTGAAGCTGAAGCAGATGGATGGTCTGGTTGTTTGTGGAATGAAATAACCATGTTTCTATGTGTCTGTACATCTCGTTTGTATCTGGATCCTTTTGTATTTTTGTCTGGAGCCCCACTGTTGTAAAATGACAAACATGACAAACACACCAGAAACATGACTCTGGATCTCAGGTGGTGTTCCTTTAACCTGGAATCCTCGTGCCAGAGGTGCTGCTGCCTACAACCCTTTCCTAACAGCAGGACTGTTACACTCTGACTTTCTGGACCCACACTGCTGTCCCTTCCAAGGGTTTCCGTCACTCACTCCTCCGTCTCTGGGGTCCCTTCTGCTCTAGCTCAGGAGACTCAGAAGGTGAACACAATTTGTATTTTTCAATTTTTTACAGAGAAGAAAATAATAAATTCATATTTGCTCCCAAGAAGTGACCTTGTTGATTAATGATAGCGACAAATTCCAGTTGCATCCAAAGTTTGATTTTTTTTTTTTTTAAATGCCCCTGCCTCAGCTCCAAGTGCTCAGATCACTGGCTGTGGCCTGACTCTTCCAAGATGAAACATCACTGTCCAAGGTAGGCACCAGCAACAGACCGAGGAGAAGGTGCAGCCCAAGTGAGTGTTCTCAACCTGTGGGCCCCTTGGGAATCAAGAGGACCTTTCACGGGGTCAAATAGTAGTTATCCTGCATGTCAGATGTTTACATTATGATTCATTACAAGCAAAATTACAATTAAGTAGCAATGAAAATAATCTTAGATTGAGGCCAGCACAACATGAGGAACTGAATTAAAGGCTCAGAGCATTTGGAAGGTTGAGAGCCACTGTTGTTAAATCCAGCTTGCTGAGCCAACGAGTTCATTCTGGTTTCTCACAGGAGCTCAGTAAAGGACTCCCAAAAGCTGTACTTGAGTGCCCCATGTCCAACATGCAGGCAGTTCTACTGGGGAGTCTCCTTCAGCCATTATCACTGTTTTTGCAACCCCATTGAGGGTTCTGGGGATCCTGTAACTGCTTGAACTTTGAGCTTTCTTGGCTTCCTAAATTTTGGAGCTTTCCTTCTCCAGGAGGGAATATTTCATTACATTACATTTGAAACTCAGGCCAGGTGCTGGTGGTGCATACCTTTAATCCCAGCACTCGGGAGGCAGAGACAGATGGATCTCTGAATTGGAGGCCAGCCTGATCTACAAAGTTAGTTCCAGGATGGCCAGGTATACACAAAGAAACCTGATCTGGAAAAATATAGACACAAAACTCTTAGTATCTTCCTCCCTCTCTTCCTACCTCTTCTGTCTTTCTTCCTCAGTCCCCCCCCCTTCCCCACTCCTGTATGTCTGCTGTGCTACATGTATGAGTGTGCATGTGCCTGAGCACGAATGTGAGTACACAGTATCACACGTGTCCCTACCTGTGCCCACAGGTGGAGGTCTAAGTAGGGTGTCAGGCATCTTCCTCTGTTCTCCACCCTATTGCTTTGAGACAAGACTCTCATGTAAAGAAAGCTCATCACTCTGCCTGGGCTGGTTGACCAGTAAGCTCTAGGGACCTTCCTGTCTGTGCCCAATGCTAGGACTGGGTATGAACAGTACAGCCTGGCTTTTTTGTTAGGTATTGGAGGTTTGTACTTAGGACTTCATAGTTGCACACCAAGCACTGGGCAGTGTCCCCAGACCACATTCAGCTTTTTCTTACAACTCTCCTCAGGCTTATGGTGATCACAGAATTTCTGTCTCAAAGGCATCAGTAATACATGTGGATTTCAGTGATGGAATGCTTTCTTACTGGGATAAATCTTTTACTTTACCTGGAGGAACAAAGGCAAGAAGGAATTCAGTCTTTTCTTCTAGTGACCTGCAAGTCCCCTGCACCCCTCACTGCCTTAGCCTGTGTCAGTGGAAGACATTTTGCAAAGGGGCTAATGATAAAGATGAAGACAGGAAGTTGGCAGAGTAGATACTCTGATTATGGTGGTGGGTGTGTCTTGGGAAGAGGAAGGAAACTGAAAATGCCACTCTCATGGCTGATCGTGATTAAAATTACTAACACCTCCCACCTAAGTTTTTTGGATCCACCATAGAAGAAGCTGAGGAGAGAGAGCGAGCAGTTGTTCTTTTGTTTGTTTTTGTGTTTGTTTTTACAAGATGAGCCCTTAGTTACTTAAGGAGACATTTTGTTGCTACTGCACTGCCTCTCCAGTTTCCTAGTGCTTTTTAGTATTCTGGGATCTGACTTACACAGAGACAGTGTGTACAGGTGTATCATCCACTGTGAAACCATCCTGAGAACCACACCACCTCATTGACGGCAGCTTGGTGCCCATCTGAGGTACAGGCTCCCGTCCGTAGCATCTGACAGAACATCTCCTTCTAAGATGGACCCTGGAAGTATAAAGATCCTTTTTTGTCCCCTTTGTCTCGCTGCTATTGTTGGGAACTTAGAAGCTGACTTCTGGTGAGGGCTGACTAGTGCCTGGTCACTGAAGGTCCATGCATTGACAGGATTTGCCACTAGAGGGAGACAAGTCACCCTGTTAGGACTTAGCAACTTAGCTGCTATATTAAAAGGGAAGTGGAGAGTTATTCTTGTTGCTGTGTTTGTTTTTATAGTGAGATAAGGTCTCACTGTGTAGCCCAAGCTAGCCACGAATTGACTATGTAGACCACACTGGGCTGGAACACAGAGATCTGAGTGCTAGGATTAAAGGCGTGCAACACCAGGTCTTGCTTAAGGAAAAGATTCTTAAATGGGTGTCATGACTGAGGGCAGTATGTACCGTTCAAAGTTGCCAGGTGTCCTAACTAAGAAATAGTGACCAGCCATTCAGTTGAATCACATTTGAACTTCACACAAGTTCAGCCTGGATCCTGGGGAGCTGTGTTCAGATTGAGCCCTTCACAACAGCACCTCCCCTCCACAGACAGTTGTGACGTTTCTAATAAAAGTGCCGTTCCCTCTTTGGAAATGGAACCCTGCCACAGAAACACAGGCATAAATTCCTGGGTTACACCTGAAGTTTCAAAAAAATCACCTTCTAATGTAAACTTGACCTGCATAATGTTTGAGACATCTCTCAACCCTGGTGAAAAATATCTAGGCACAGTCTCGGTCTTGTATCTGGTTCTGATGTCAGTGTGCCTTTGGTCACTGACATTATCTGTCACTGACACTATCTGGTCATTTGCATTATCTATTCTCCCACTCTCTGAGGCTGGGTATATTTTAGCATATATCAATAATATAAAATAGTTGGTTTCATTATGACAGGTTTTCTTTGTTGTTTGCTTGCTTAGACCAGGGCTCCTGTAACTGAGAATGACCTTGAACTTCTGGTCCCCCTGCCTGTTCCCTCAAGTGTTGGGATTACAAGCATATGCTGTAATCACAACATATGCTGTAATCACACCCAGTTTAGGAGACACTGGGAGTCAAGGCAAGCACTTG